AAGATAAATAAGTAGTAAGGATGTAATACGTGACAACTACAATGAACAATGCTTTCTGGTCTATATGAAAGTTAAGAGAGTAAATCTGCAGAGTTCTCATCACAAAGAAATAAATCCTTTTCCCATTTAAAAAATCTATGAGATGATGGATGTAACTAAAATTACTGTGGTAATCATTTTACAATATACGTAAGTCAAGTCATGGTGTGTACCTTGAACTCACGCAGTGCAGTATGTCAATCATGTGTCAGTAAAACTGGGCTGAGGGAGGCTGCGTAACTTGTAGAAGACCACACAGCTAGAGTCAGGAGAGACCAACATTCAAACTCAGTGCTGTCTGGTCGAAAAGCCCAATGTACCTAAGGACATGGCTCTGTACTCTGTTCTTGTTGAGTACCCATACTGCTTCTTATGAAGAGCGGCAAAGGGGCCTTGGCAGGGTGGCTCAGTTGGTTGGAGCACCATCCCGCACACCAAAAGGTTTTGGGTTCAATCCCTGGTGAGGGCACATACCTAGGTAGCAGGTTTGATCCGTGCTTGGGGCCTTATGGGAGACAACCAATCAATGTTTGTTTCTCTCTCTCCCGCTCCATTCCCCTCTCTCTAAAATCAATAGGCATATTCTTGCTCAAGAATTCAAAAAAAGTTGCAAACATAGGAGCTGTGCTTTACTCAGAGATCGTTCTGCTGGAGGGTGGAGCCTGGGGTGGGCCAGGCCAGGGCACGTGGGCAATGGCTGCATTTACGTTGTTGACGGTGTTCATCCCACGTGCGCTCCCACGCATCTTAAGGAACACAGCTGTTGCTGGCCGTGCGAGGAAAGCTGCACCAGTTTTCACTGTGTGTAGCTGACTGACTACTCAGCTGTGCCCACGGGGTGCCGCGGAGGGCAGCAGGCCCCACGCCCGACTTTATGGTGCACCAAACGGGGAGTCGCCTTCCTAGGTCTGCCAAAAGCTCCTTGCTGCACCTGGTGCAGCCCCTCCCTCCTGCCCTAAAAGGCTGATTTCAATCAAACTGATACAGGGTGCAGCCAAGACGGGGGGGGGGGGGGGCAGCAAAAAAAGATTTGGAATGGTGTCTGGAATTCAAAGTGTATAGGAATATTGGAGAGACATATAAGATGTCCTCCCCCCCCCAAGGGACGAATGAAACAGGGCCATTGAGAGCTGTTTTGCATAGCAACAGTTTTGAAGCTAACCTCTGGAATGGTCATTTAACATATCTATAACCTTTAACTGGTTGCATAGATATGTTAAATAGCTGTGGCCAAGTTTTGAGCCAGGGAGAAGGGAGTGGCTTCTACCCAGGATGGAAGTAGGGGCTGCACCCCTGAGTGAGAGTCCCTGTGTGAGAGCTTAGAAAAGATGAGCTCCAGGACATGAGGGGAGAACTGCCCAGGTGAGGAGAGAGCCACGCGGTTTTGGGAGAATGTAGACCCCTGCAGCCATGTGAAGGAGAGCCACGCGGTTTCAGCAGAGTGAGGACCCCCTCTTGGTGAGGTGAAAGAGGGAGCCATGTGGTTTTGGCAGAGTGCGGACCCCCTCTTCCCCAGGTGAAAGGGAAAAACACACAGCTTTGCCAGAATGGAGATCCCTGCAGCCAGGTGAAGAAAGCCACATGCTTTTGGTGGAGTACGGACTCCTGCAGCTTTGGTAGAAGAGGCCCATGCGGCTTTGGGGTGCCCCGTTTGGCCGCGTGGCCTGGAAAGCAAGAGAGACTTTGGCTGGAACTGGATACAAAGAACTCTTGCCAGTGGACACGAGAGGGTACCACAGTACTTTGGATCAACTAGAGAGAGAGATCCTGTCTGCATGGTGACACAGCTGACGGTGCCAGCGGCCTGCAACACAGACGTGTGCTCTTTTCCTGATTTACGGTACCCGGAGTTGGGACAGTGGGACAAGGGAGCGCTGTGTGGGTGTAGGTGTACAACCTAAAGGACTTTGATATTTTAGTGGAGGCGTTAGGCCTGAATAGCATTAAATAAACATTTTGTTTCCTTTTTACAAATCTCTGGCATTGAGAGACGTCTTTCCAATTGGCGGCGGGCAGAGGAGCCCGGTAGATATTAGTATACCATCCTTGGGAGGGGCCCCTGTTCTGCAGCAGTTTTTGGTGTCCCCGGGTGGGCCAAATATTGCCCCTCCCTCGGACCTCCTGTTCGGAAACAAAACTACAAGATTCTTCCTTTCTTCACCTGGAGGGACAAACCGTGCATCCTGCCACAGAAGCTGTACCGCGCTCCCAAAGACCTGACCGCAGAGAAAAGCCCGAGTTAAGGGCAGCACTGCTCCACAGCCGTTTCCGTTTGAGATGCCCAGTGTCTCCCACCCCCTCTGCTCTCCCGGCAGAGAGCTCGCTGGGAAGGCCAGGTGTTGGCTGAAGCCGCAACTGCGCCAGCTCTGGGGGGCACAGCTCCCGCGGACTCTACTCCGGTACAGAGACTGAGTCCATGTCTGGTGGTCCTCGGGGTCCCCATTCCCCAGGAGACCTTGCACTCCTGGTGTGTTGAGAAACCCAACCTGCCCACTGGCCCTCTGGGCTCACGGTGCAGCCTGTCCTCCTTACTCCCCTCAGCACCGGTGGGAGTGGGGGAGGACAAGTGTTGGCAGGGAAGGTGGCTGACAGGAGTCTGGTGAGCGGGAACCCTTTTATACGGCGACTGCTCGGCCACAGCAGCCTTCCAGCCCACTTTAGCTTACCCAGTGTCTGGTTTCAGCCTTTCCAACAGTCAAGTGCTAACTGGCAATCAAACTCCCGCTTTGGGACTAAGCTTCATCTGCTCTGGGCCCCGCACACCTTCCCGTCTGCCATTCTCCCTCCTCCACGAGTCTCCCCGAGAGCAACAGTCCGCCCAGGCGGTGCACCCTGTTCCCGAGCCGCCCCTTGGTGCGCCTCAGGTCTGGCCTCAGACACCACACACTGGTCCAGGACAGCACTGTGGGTTCCTCTGCTTAGTACGGAAGATGTACAGGGCTACGGAGAATCGTTAAAAGTATTTTCACTGTCACCAGACACTGCGACTTCGCACAAGGTGCAGCTTCCCAGAAGCCTTTTGGGAGTCGGTGTCCCAGGTCTCAGCACCGCACAAGGGTATGGCCAGAGGGGGCCTCTCCAGGTGGGCACGCAGACTATGAGCCCACTGTTCTTGGGGACAATGACTGAGAGCTCATTTGCTGCTATGGACACTTACTGACAGGGCCCGTCAGCTCCTGACTCTTCAAAGGAGTCAAAGAACACTGACGGAAGGCCTTTCAGCAGGGAGCAGCTGCGGGCCTGCCGTGGTGAAGCACACAGCTTGCCGAGACCCCGGGCCTCAGCTGAAATGCCTCATCAGAAGTTGCTCTGGGACGGCAGCCAGCGCAGGCCCTGGCAGGGCGCCCCGGGGAGGGGAGCAAGGACCCATCCCGTCTGCGGCTTCAGACGCGGACCTCTCAGCTCAAGGCCAGTGCTGGTGCTTACAAGCTCTAACTTGCTGGGTGGATGAGCCTCGCTTTGCTTCAGTCTCCTCGTCTGAGTAATGGGGGCAAGAAGAGGACGTGGCCCTCAGGGTTAGTGTGTGGGCTGAAGGAGTTAATTCTATGTGTTAAACTACTTGGGTGCAGTGTCCAGCACGAGAGCCCCGTGAGTGCCAACTACTGGCACCAACAGCAAGCACAGTGTCCCGTGTAGACAGAGTGACAGCGCCCTCCAGGCGGCCCTCCCTCTCCCGCCCGCTCTGAGGCCACGAGCCCCAGGCCTGCCTCCGCCTCTGTGATCTTGACCACAGCACACACTGCCTTTACTGGAAGCCTGGGGGAAGGCCCTTGGACCGGAGTCAGACACAGCTTCAAGGGCTAGATCTGCACCACTAGGACAGTGTCCTCCCCAAAACCACATGTTCATCTGAGAAATGGGGACGCTCATCCCTATCATGACGGCCACCAGGTATGAGACAACCTTGTCAGTGGCTAAGCGCTGGGACAGACATTGAGGACACATCAGAGGCCGTGTGTGCAAGCAAGGGCTCTGGGCTGGGCCGTCATGGGCAAAGCAACCCCCGAGACCACCCCCTGCCTGGACCTCACAAGAACTGCCCTCTCCCACCCCCCTCCGTCCTCTGCTGATGGTAGGTGCTCTCCAGCCCTTTTATCTCTGGACGGGGGCGTTGATATGTGGCGCACCTGTGCGCACAGTGACTGGCTGGCTTTGTTCCCCCATCAACCTTTCTCTCTCTGAAGACAGAGGCCATGTGACTCCCACCTGTGGGCCCCGTGCAGCCTGCCCCTGGGCACTGGCCAGCGCTGCAGTGAGGCCTGCAGTGTGAAGGAGAGTATGAGATACGAAGAAGTTGCAGCCAAGGACTCCCCCGGGCCCCCCACAAGTGCTCCCTGGAGGTATCTGGCTCAGCATTTCAGGAAGCTTCCACCTCTCCTCCCAGCACCCCCCACATTCGGAGCGTGAGTGAAGCTCACACAGGTTTTTGTAATTAATTTCAGTCACTCAGTCCACCCCGTCCAGACCCTGCTTTAGGTATTTGGGGTATGACTAATTCCTGGATCGTAAAGAAGAAAAATAAAATAGCGTGTGTGCGTAGGGCTTTAGAGTTTATGAAGCGCACACTATCTCGTTCTACGTACGGCCTGTCATATAAACAGGACAGGGGCAGACACTCAAATCCCATTTTCCAGGTGAGGAACCTGAGGGTCAGCGAGGCCACGTGATTTGCCCGGACGACCTGTTAGAGCTTCACCTGAACCTCAGGCTTCCTGTTTCCACACCGAGGGCTTTTTTCTTTATCCCAGGCGATCCCGGGTGCCAGCCCATCTTTCTTGGCAAAAGCACCTTTAAAGCAGTTTACCCAGTGTACGTTACTAGGATCTGCGGGTGTGAAGTTTGTGGGTAGGCTCACTTACACTGCCCTGTCACGCCAGCACACAGGATTCGCTGGAAAACACAGGAGAGCACAGGGGGTGTCGTGTTAGGGGGTGTCGTGCGGAGGCACCCCGACTCCTCACCTTCTCCAGGCCCGCTGGATGACTGCCGCCGCCCTGTTCTTTTTCCGGAACAGCTCTTTCCTGCTTCTTTCTCTCTGGATTATCTGGAGCCGCAGCTCTACGGGGAGCAGGTCAATATTCACGCTCTGCCCAGCAAGGGCGCCGGGGGCTGGATGAGTCTCCTTAGACGTCTGAGCAGCCTCAGACGGGGTGGATATGCCCAACTTCCTGACCCCTGACCTCAGCACCTCCGTCCCCTGTGGCAAATCGGAGAGGCTGTCTCCTTCAAGCTTGTCCTGAGTGACCTTGTTTCTTGGTGTCCGATGGTGGAGGGGACTCTGCCCAGCATAGAGCACCTCCCCCTTGGCGCTGCCAGGCCGGCTGGAACCGGCTGGCGAGCACCTTCCTCCTCTGAGCTCTTGCATGCGCCTTTGCTGGGAGGTACATTTGGCCTTGGGTGCTGCGTCGTGCCACCTGCTGGACTTCCGGTGACCGTCCTGCTGTGGAAGGCCTGTGGCTGCCCAGCCGGGGTCCTCTCCTTTCCCATCAGGCCCAGCCACCGTGATGCAGGGGGGCTGCTTGGAGAAGCTCTTCCCCCTGTCACAGCGCTGGGGGCCGACAGTCTCGCCTCTGGACTTGTCAACAGAGGGGACTCCCAGGCACCTGTTTCCATCAGCGCCTTCACTGGGGCTGAAGTGGACACCAGCGGATCGGCCTTTAGGATGCTCTCTGGATGTTTCTTGGGGAAACAAGGAAAAGTGGGGAGAATATTACTGTTCAAAACTTGCATGATAGGGCGAGCCTGCCTGTTTATTATGCACATAAAAGATTCAGTCCCATCCCACAGCATTATCATGCTAGTGGTGACTATTAGAAAAACATTTCGACTTCTATTTCTAGCAAGAGTAGGTTTTATAACCAGAGAGCCTTCCAACTACAAGTACCTAGAAATGCTGGTTAAAATACAGTAAACATCCGTTTAAAAGCTCCAGAGTGCCTTCAAGAAAATAAAGGCAATCTCCGGGGGCCCAAAGAAAGGGCAAACCGAAATCAGAGCGGTGCACGTGCGAGCTGACCTAGGCAGGTGGTGGGGGTGCAGTGGCCATCGGCTGGTCTCACTAAACACCTGGCTGTGGTCTGACGTCCAGACAAGAACAGAGGGCGAGGACTTGCAGGTAGAAAAGGAACTAAGACCGAGCCCCTGCGTGACGCTGGGGTTCTGTGGTGGGGTGCCACTGGGAAATAATAGTCCAGATAAAAGATCTGCTTGCCAGCCCTGGGAGGTGACAAGGACATTTGTCTCACACGAGTTTGGCGTTCCCTGATTTTCAACTACAGAAAAAACTGATATAAAAACTGGGCTCGGGATGTGATATCCCAGAGGCAAATGATTCATGGAAGCGAACACAAAGCTGCTTTAGTGCGGCTGCCCTTGCTCTGGCCGCACAGAGGGGCCTTCTGGAAACAGCGCCACAGTTTAGAACTGCACCACGCAGGAGGGGCAGCCTACTGCGGGTGACAGTGAACAGTTACGATGGCAAACTTAGATCAGTAAGAACCACGGCTAATAGAACGCCGTGTGCGCCTGCACACCCCAGTGATTAAACGGAAGAAACTTAAAGTATGAGGAAAGAACAGCTATTTCCCAAACAGGACTTCTAAAATGAAAAATTTCTCTGAATGTAAAAAGCAGTGACGGAGCTTCTGTTCCCACAGTGGCAGGACTGAGGCATGCTCACCGTGGAGGAGAACAGGAGAGTCCAACAAAATACTACACGCCACCTGTTTTTAAAAACAGTTCGTAAGCATTTGCAACGACAGCTGACATCCCGTATCACATTAGTTTCATTAGTTTCAGGTGTGGCATGTAGCGATTCGCTATCCATGTAGCTTGCGAAGTCCGCGCCCCCATGCACCCGAGGGCCCGTGGCAGCAGACACCTGTCACCGTGGCTCTGCCCGTGCTCCCCGCGCCGTGCTCCACGTCCCCGTGACTGAGAGCTGCCATGCGCACCTCTCCCTTCCTTTCCCATGTTCATCCAACCCCCTCCCCTCTGGGAACTGTGAAAATGTTCTCTGTATTTATGAGTTTATGTGTTGTTTATTTATTGTGTTTTTAGATTCTCCATATAAGTGAGATCATATATTCGCCTTTCTCTGACTGATGTATTTCACTGAACATAATGCCCTCTAGGTCCACTCATGCAAAGGCAAGATTTCTTTATTTTTTATGACAGAGGAATGTTCCATTGTATACATGTACTGTGTCTTATCCATTCGTCTCTCACTGGACACTTAGGTTGCTTCCATATCTTGGCCACTGTAAATAACACTGCGGTGAACTTCGGGGTGCATATGTGTTTTTGAATTAGTGTTTTGGATTTCTCTGGATAAATACCCAGAGGTGGAATTGCTGGGTCACAGAGTCGTTCTACTATTAGTTTTTTGAGGACCCTCCATGCTGTTCTCCACCGTGGCCGCACTAACGTACAGTCCCACCAACACTGCAGAAGAGTCCCCTTCTCTCCACGTCCTCACCGACACTTACAAACCACCTGTTTGGAGGCATCGAGGGCTAGCAAGGCAGGAAAAAAGGAGGCCGAGATCCAGGAGAATCCAGACCCAACAGCCGAGTAAGGCGTTTGGAGGTACGCATGCATCCCCAGAGGAATCAGCCCCCTGAGGTTTGGAGGACCAGAGACTCCGAGAAGCATTCTCTTTGGCTGGGACCACGGGAGGTTATGTGTTAGAAGAGCTGAACTGGCTGAAATTCAACGTGGCCATCACATCACAGGAGTTTAGTGAATTCGTGCTGAATGACTAACTGCACATATAACAAACACCACGCATCCTGACACACTGTCACTGAAAGTGGGTTACGTGGCAGAGTCTGGACAGGTCTGTGGTCATTCACGTGTACTTTGCTGTGATCATTCTTGCCTAGATCAGCAGTGTGGTTTAATAACAGTAGTTAGTGTTACAGCTCATGGTCTGCAACATGTACGCTACATTTTAAAATTTCCATTAGTAACTGCTCTGCAGGGTGGAGAGTAGACCTCCATTTCATAGCTAAGAAAAATGAGGGTTACAGAGATAGACTGAATTGTCCCAACCCTGAATTAGGTGACCGGAGATTCCAGAGACCCTTTCTGGAGGTCCACGAGGCCAAAACTACTTTCATAATAACACTAAGACAAGATTCATCCTTTTCACGTTGTTGGCATCTGCACTCGACTCTGGCGGGTGGTCACCACTGCCTAACTGGTGAGAATGGCTCCGTGCACTCAAACTGCTTTGTGCACACGGTCGTTTATGTTGAATACCTGCCTTCTTTGTGGGAGTCTGGAGTCCTGGTCTACGCGCATGCTAAGCAGAGGGTGCCTCCATGACTGACCCCTGATAAAAACCCTGGAGTCCTAGGTTGAGGTGGCCGTTCTGGTGGAAACGTGTCAAAGTGGTTGTGAAAACCACCTGGTGTCCTGTGTGACTCCACTAAGAGAGGACCCCTGGGAGTTTGCCCCTGGGTCCCCCAGACTTTCCTCCATGTGCCTTTTCCCTTGGCTGACCTTGCTCTGTACCTGCATGTCACAATGAATCACGGCCACACGTACAACCGTGTGCTGCACCTTGCGTGTCCTCCTGGCAGATCACTGAGCCTGGGTGCTTTTGCGCACCCCCCACACTCAACAAACTCCAGATGGAAGACACTCCAAGATCCATGCCGGGACACATCACAGTAACCTTCTGAAAACTAAAGATAAAGAAAAAAATCTCGAAAGCAGCTGGAGAGCAATGAAATGTTACCTAGAAACGGTGCCAGGCTACGCCCGTTTGAATGGCAGTGAGTTTCTCATCTGAAACCATGAGCGGCAGAAGGAAGCGGCTCAGTCATTTCCAAGTGCTAAGGAGCTGCCAATCCTGCAGTCCGCGTCTGGGTTAACCAGTCCTCAGGAGTGAAATAAAAACTGAACCAGCACGCCAAACGGAGACCGACTCCCAGATGGAGAACAGATGACAGCTGGTGGGCAGCGTGGGGCTGGGGGTGAAGGGATAGAGCCCGAAGGGAAAAGGCCTCATGGGCCTGGGCAACAGCGTGGTGACTGCTGGGGGCTGGAGGGGACCAAATGGTGATGGGAAAAAGGTAAAGACTCTCTATTTAAAAATAACAAAAATGAAAATAAAAGTATTCTTAAAGATTTTGTGGCAAGTAGACCTACCTTTAAATAGGCTAAAGAAAGTTCTTCAAACAGAAAGGAAATGTTAAGAGAAGGAATTTGGAGCATCAGGAAGAAAGACAAAAACAACAGAAAAAATATGGGTACACAAAATGGTCTATCCTTTTCCTCGTGAGTTTTATAATTTGGTGGTTGAAACAAAAATTATAAAGCCATCTGACACCAAGCAAAGATGTTTAGAAGTGGGGAAGGTAAAGGTGCCTGAACGGAAGTGAGGGTTCTGCATGTCACGGTGGTAAGATGCTGACGCCACTAGACTCTTGTAAGTCACCGATGACTGCTGATACTCAGAGCAACCACTACAGAACCTACAGATGTACTCAAAATCCCTATAAATCAATCAAGACGGAACCCTAAAAGATGCGTGAGTAACCTGCAAGAAGGGAAGAAGAGAGGAACAGGAATGAGAATCAGAGGAAAGAAATAGAAAATAAATAATAATAAAATGGCAGACTTGAGTGCTGACACAGTTACCTTAAACGTAAATGGTCTAAATCAGAAGGGCCTGCCGTCCATGGGCTGGCACTGGGTAACAAAGGGAACACACCTACCGTTTGGCTTTCTGGGGTCTGGTCCCTGCAAGCCTGGGGAAAGATGCTGCTCCTTCTGGGGGGCTTTGCTTGAAGACCCTCTGCCTGGAGACCCTCTGCAGGTTCTCTGCTCAGGGCTCTGGGCTGCGTCACCGGTGGGAGGCGGGGTGCTGGGGCCCCCATTCTGCCCGTAGGGCTTGGCCTGGGTGCTGGGCAGACAGGGAAGGGCTCGGGGCCTGCAGGAGTCGGGACTCAGCCTTCCCTTCTGCTGTTCTGCTTCTCTTCGCTTGTTTTCTTCCTCTCGCTTCCTGAAGCAAAGCCAAGGAGGAAGAGGAAAAAATTGAAGGGGCGTTACCCACTCAAGCATTCCTGAGTGAGACTTAAACTCTAAGAGGAGCTGCCACGTCACGGGAGGGATCTGGAAATTCACATTTTTGAGAGCAGTCTTTTCTCAGGCTTTACAGCTCGTAAGACTACAAAGCCAAAAGACCCTTCCAGGGTCTGCGAGGCACCATGACGGAGGGAGGAATCTGTGAGCTCCGTGGGAGACACAGCACGGCCGCCAGGTGTGTGTCCCAGGCCCTCTCTCCCATCCCAGAGAGCGCATCGGAGAATGGCGATACAACTGCGAATGGCGATCGCAAGGAAACCTTTCGTTTTCTACTAAAAAGACCATTGGCGCCAGTTCAATTCCCAGCCAGGGCACCTGCCTGGGTTCAGGTTGGGGGTGTGTGAGAAGCAACCGATCTATGTTTGTCTCAATCATTGATGTTTCTCTCCCTCCCTTCCCCTCTTTCTAAATTAAAAAAAAAAAAATGTCTTACAAAAGATCACTGGCAGAACTTAATGATTATATGAAAACATTACAGAGACCTCAGAGCTGATTATAACACATTCCTGAGTTGCAACCCTTCGTTGAGGTCTCTCATTAGTCAAACCTACTCTTTTTGTGGGTGAGGTCCTGAGGGCAGGATGATTCTTAAGTCTTTGGAGTAAAATTCACAAACATCCCAGACAATGTCCAGTGTGGAAGAACTGGGCCCTGCTTTGCCTTTTCTGGTTTCTGAACGGCAGGCATTCAAAACACACAACACGCCCAGCTGGTTCAGTCACTGCACGGGGTGGGGAAATCTGGTAGCCACATAAAGGGTCAGTTAAAGAGGATGATTAGGGGTGGGGTGCAGAGAAGCCAGCACTGGGAAGTCTGAGAACTCTCCTGGTCCTGCCTCTGCCAATGACTGCAAAATGCCCTTGAGTGAGTCACTTTCCCGTAGAAGGCTTGGTCCCCACCGCCCCAAGTCTAACACCCACACGACAGCCTGTGATCCTGAACTGATTCAGGGGTCTATTGGGGACTCAGACATCTCTGTAAAAGCAGGGACAACTTCTGCAATGAGAGGGAGAGATTTCTTTGATCCAAGTGGCTGGTATCAGAGTCCCTCTCAGAAAGGGGACTTGTTTAGACACGTTAGTAAGGCTGGGGTCAGGACTGAGGGCTGGTGGAGGTGGGATCCTCAGGGCCCCAGGGTGACTGGCTCCAAGGCTCCAGAGGAGAGGGCTGCTCCGTCACGACACAAAGAATTTGTCTGTAGCTCCTGACAGGGAGGGAGGTGATGAGATAATGAGAGAGAGAGAAGGGAGGAGGGAGACAGAGGAGAAGAGAAGCTGGGGATGCAGAGAGCAGGGACCAGGGCACAGACATGCTGCCCACAGTGAGGTGACAGAAAGGGACTTTGGACCTGTGCTCCTCACACTCTACTGAACCGAACCTCCCGCTCTGTGGCCACCATCTAGATTCGGACTTAGCAAGCCTGGGCTGGGGCTCACGGTTCTGCATTTCTAACCAGAACCACAGTCCCTCTGACCACACCTGGAGCACAAGGCTAGTATCACACAGACGTCTCATACGGTCTGTCAACCATTATGGGATGGGAAGTGTCATTCTCCTCAATGGCACCGACTTTGGTAAGGGTCACCATGTTCACACCTGCTTTTCATAAGCCCCCGATAAACTGCAGAGGGAAGGTAACCAGACACAGAGCAAGAGCTGTAGAACAGACCCCACGCCCCCAAGAAGTCCTAGGATTCAGATTTCCACAGACTGGAATTTGAAGCCAAGCTTACTCAGATCTCAAGGCACAGGGAAGACCCAGATGGTAGCTCTCTGGGTCTTTGACAGAAAGCCTGTCAACTGAACTTGCCCTGCTAGAAGGTCCTTCTTCCTGCGGCAAAGCCCCCGATCTGGGGTCCAAGCCTGATTATCTACTAGTTTCCACCGAGTCCCCTCCCAGAGCAAGCGGCCGGATGGTCCCGTGTTTATTTGATTCTGGTTCACTGCGTGCTTTGTCGGCTGCTCACACTCCATGTGCGCACCACAGTCGGCGGGCGAGCTGGGCAGCCCGTCACCACGGGAGCCTGAGACTCGCGCTGCTGCCCGCAGGTGCCATTTTGGTGGGATCGGTCTGGGACAGGAAGGTGGAGGCATCTGGGGGGTGACGCGTTGCTACCTGATCTAACAGCCTCGTTCCCGACAGGCAGAAGGAGAGCTGCTCTTTTTACCTGCACTGACCGGAAGAACTGCCCTGAGAGGATTTGGTCCTTTAGACAGACACAGGCACGCGGCTGTCTGGCTTGGCGTCTACATGGATCTCACTGCCATTAAGGGGGCTGTGAGGTGACAAATTGGACTTCATTACGTGAGCGGTCATCTCTTTCTCTTGGGAATGCAAACCATTTTCCTTTCCAAGAAGTCACACACAATCAGCCCCTGGGCAAACCTTGTCACCGCAGACCCTTCTGGGCCCGCACCTAAGGCAGCCACAGGACAAACAGGGCTTTTTGGAGTCATCAGGATGTCCAGCGAGCAAGGGGCTCTGCTTTCTGAAGAATTCTTGAAGGGGGGGCGGTGTATGGGGCTGTTTTTCCATTTTGGTTAAATTACAGAAGCAGATTTTGGAGAAAGAACATACTTATCAGAATATATAATTTAAATACTCCCAGCAGCTTATGAACAGAAGTATGTTAATGCTTAAAAAAAAAAAAAACGGATGCACTTTAAATTAAAAAAAATATTCCCGGTGGCATGCAGCCCACAGTCATGCAGGTAGGTCCCCTCAGAGCTGTAGAAGTGTAATCACTGGGGTGAAGGGGGCGATTACAACCGGGAATTGCGCATCAGCTACATCCTGTTGTATGTGTTCTGCTACCGGAAAAGGAAAGCAGCAGCAGCAACACACACACACACACACACACACACACACGACACAGCTGCTGGGGGTGGACCACGATCCTGCATGTATGTGTCCGTCTATCTGGCGAACAAAGGCCAGGACCACCGCCCAAGGTTTAAAAGCCTGAAGGGAGCGTGGAGTGTGGAGAACGATACTCCGATTTGGTTGGGGATGAGTGACTCACCAAAGCTACACCGGCAACACACAGAGCCGAGAGCTCAGCGGCTTCACTTCTCCCTGCAAAACTTGTCTCAGTGACAAAATTGTTTTTTTTTAATTTCACTCAGTTGTTTCCCATCATCTAAAAAATGAATTGGGTCAAATGAAGAAACTGGTCAGATCGCATCCAAGGAACTTTGCTTCCGGTGTGGCTGTTGGCCCTGACCTCTCAGGCTCCATGGCAGTCCTGAAGTGTAAGTGTTTTTCCTCCAGATTCTTTATCACAGAATACCAAGGTCCTCTCATCTTCACGGTGGGCTATACTACAAACTTGACCTATTTGTGTAAAGTTTAGGAAACAAATACCAGAAAAAAACCAATATTACTCTAGTTCATATGAATACTGAAGAGGAAAAAAGGGATCCTGTCCCTGACGCAGCAAGCACCACTTTAGCAGGGAATTTATCAACAGAGCAGAATCCTAGTGTATAAAAGGGTCCCACAGTTTCCTATTGTTATAAGGGGAAATGGCCAGACAACAGTGCTTGATGGGCTGCCAACTAGTCTGGTTTGTACTCTTTTCTGGAGCAATTTCTGCAGCTCCCCAGCGGCTCTCGGTGTGACGAGGTGAGAAAGTCCACTGGGGACAGAGCCTTGACAACATCCGCTTCGGGTCCCAGCAACACAGGGCAAAGAGGGTCTCCAGGTGCCGACGGGCTGGCGGACCTGGAGTGGCTCCGCCCGGAAGAGGAAAGGTTTCAGGAACACGCTGCTGCTGCAAACCCCTGACGGCTACTGTGGAGCCCAGAGGCCTCCTGGGACCCCGAAACCCCCAACCAGATCTGAGACCCACAGATGGGGATTTACACAAATTAGTGGCCGAGATGACAACACCCAAAAAAGGGGGAGGCAACAAGAAACTAAGGAATCAAAAGACTGCTTGATGTGCAGAGAACCGCGTCAAGGGCAACGACCTAAATGACCTGGCTGCCCAAGGACAGCAGCGTCTCGGCGCTGGGCGCGACTGCAGACTGCCTCTGGGCCTGAGGTCTGAGTCCTGGAGGGGGGGCATCTTTCCCCACCCCGCACCACAGGGCTTCCGCAGAGTGCTGTTTGCCCAGTTTTGCCAGAAGAAATTAAATTACATCAGGCACTGCAGAAATGGGCAGGCTTTTTCTCATTCAATGTGTATTCAAGTTTCCGACTATAGGACCTTCGAGAAGTCTGAGAGGTGTGATTAAAATGGTTTCCACAGATAAGGGAGATCTAGTTAGCGTGTCTTGTGCCGATTTAACCAGGCTTTGCCCTGACGTCATTTTTATTCATAGTCCTGGTGGGGGCTTGGAGCCAGCTCATTGCCTCAACTTTCCTAAGGACTTAAGAGGATACTGGCGTGCTCTCTTACATGAGCTGTGAGAGTGGCAGGCAGATTTTTACTGAGCTATGTTGCAGAACTGATGATGGTGAACGGCGCCCCTCTCTCGGTCCCTGGAACACTGGCACAACGGACTAAGCACTGGGTCGGAAGGAAAGCTGACTCGGGGGCCTGGTTCTGCCACCAGCGGTTACACTTACGGTGGGGGGAAGTCGGAGAAAAGAGGCTGGAGCTGGCCTACCAGACAGGTGCTAGGATTTGGACACAGTCTCGAGTATAAGCATGGCTGGTAGGATGATTCCCCGGAACCACACGTCGGTGGCTCAGGGTAGCACGGGGACCCATGTGCCATATCTCTCCCTTACTAGCGGTGTGATTTCAGGCAATTTGGCCTCTCTGTTATTTGTCCCATCCTCTTTATTGGGTTATTGTACGGCTTTAATGAACTGATAAGAATTTTGTAAGCTGTAGAGCAGTATATAAATGTAAGCGACGATGATTACTTTTGGGAAGAGCTGCAGGGCTAGGCATGAAGATATTTTTAGAAAGTGCTCCTTGGTGAGACCCTGCTCCATGAGGCCACTGTAATCACACCTCTGAAACCTCTCCCAGGTCCTACACTCATGGCAGTGGAGACTTGAATATTCATGGATTTAGTACCTGATCAAATTGATTTCTTCTTGCCAAAGCTGGGCAAATACAACTCTCTGTGGAAGCCACAGGGTGGGGTCTACTGACCAAGTATATGCAGTGGTGAACCCCTTTGTTCTCATGTTCCTTTTTAAAACTATGAACCTGTCAAATGGCAATCTGCTCATGATAAACGTGAGGGCGCTGGAAAACCAAATGCATAAACACGTAAGTGCTAGTGTGCACTATGAGGATAAATGGTACATAAATGTGTTTACTGCCTCGTAAGGAGAACAAGTGAAAGCAGTTCACTTACAAGGATTTGCTGTGTGGAAACTGAAGGAGCCCTGAGCGAGTACCCGGCCCAACCCTCCCATGTGACAGAGGGGAAAACTATGGACTGGAATGATGAATGACTTATGTGGGGTCTTAGACCCAGGGTGGGGCAGTTACTGAGTATTTATTATTAAAGGCTGATCACATACCAAGTACTCTAGGCGCTGGAGATGTGGAGACAAATAACGCAGTGCCCGCTCTCAAGGAACTGCTAGTCTAGTGGGGAGTCAGACGCATACACGTCTGCAGATGGTGAGTTTGGGATGCGACGAATCCTGCCATAGAGGAATCCACACAGAGCTATGGGAGGACCTGGGAAGCTGGTTAAACTGGAAGAGGGAAAAGAGGCTCCGTGGAACGATAAAGTGAGAAAGGTGGGACACGAGAGAAGGTTACTGCAGGCGGAGGGAAGAGCATCAGCTAGACACGCAGCCCGCCTCCCGCAGCATCTTTGACTCAGAAGAGATCTCAGAGCCAGCTCTTCACATGACTTAAAACTTCCTTATGTATCACCCTGGACAGCTGATAATTCTGTTTCTGCCGGAACATTTCCAGTGAGCGGAAGCTGATTATCTCATCAGGCAGAAAGGTTTAGTTCTAACCTTTTCAGCTGGTGCTGCACTCGATGCAGAGGACCCGTCAGAGTCTGTCTCTTTGCTGCCACTGAAGAGCAGGACTAGGAATATTCAGTCTTTGACTGCCTCTCAGGGGAACAGGAAAGTGTTGTGTGTTTTAGAACCTATGGCTCATAGAGTGTTAGCGCTGGGAGGGACCTGAAATATCATTTGGTCCAGTTTTTAAGCATCTCTCTGTGACTCCGGGACCCTCTTTGAGAATGTGATAAAAATGTATAGATCCTCCCCCTCCAAGTTCACATACGTTCACAACACAGGACGTGCTACGTGCAGTTTCAGGGCATTCTTAGAGCCCCTGAGCCTGTCCCGGATTAAGAAAGCCTGTCCTGGATTAAGAAAGAATTGGACACAAAACTAAACACCAACTCCGATTAAAAAAAAACAACTCTTGGGAAATAAAATGCAATCAGTTTCTTCTCCATGTAAGTATTTCTCTTGGGGGGTCTGTGCTACAATCACTGGAGGAGGTAATGGTAAAGTGTGAAAACACTTATTTACTTCCAATAACGATAATAATGGAAAAATTGTGATTGAGGAAAAGTAAAGGAGATTGTAATTTTTCAGTTTTGGCAGCTTCAAATATTATCACAGTGAGCATAGTTCTGAACTTCAGAAACTAAGAAGTAAGAACAAAGAGGACCTGTCTTCTCCAACAGTGAAACTAATGAGGATGGCAAGAGGGTGGAAGTGCTGGTGGAGAATCAGCTGTTCCCTAAATCTCCCTGCTGGATCTCCGTCTGGGCTAGAAGTTACAAAAGGCCACCTTAAAAGCAGTGTCAGCCACTACCTACTTTATTTAAGCATCAATATTTGAAACCCCTCCCTCTGTACCAAAGATCCGACAAATGTCCCAGCTCTGCACTGAATCCAAACTCTTGGCCCCAGGCATAGCATCTCAGGCGAAGAAGGGGAGGAGGCAGTGGAGATCAGTAACAGTGAAGACGGGGTTTCCACCGAACCGGAGAGTGCCTGCAAGTCAACTGGCCTAATTTGTCACGTGTACAGATGAAAAGGCTGAGACCGGGAGGGAGAAATGCTGTGTTCAGTGGGTCGCCAGTAAACATCAGAGGCTGGATGTGAACCCAGGTCTTCTCTCCGCTCGACCACAACTCTTCTATTCTGCTGGAAAGGGAGTTTCGGGGAAGGAGGGCCCCAGGACACCCCTCTCCAAAAATGAAGTGAACTGTGTTTGGATCCATGCGCTCCTTTTGGGGGACATACAAAGTCAGTCATATCGCTTTTGTAGAGTCACACCTCATCCTCAGGCAGCTGCGACTTCAAATTCTGAAACTAGATTCTCACACATTACGCTGGAGTTTACAGAAAACAACAGTAGAAGAAAATACAATACTCCCTCCCTCGCAGAGAATATCCACTGGCAAGTCAGGGTAATTCGTCATGTGTATTACCTACCTCCAGTTGTTAATCACATGCAGACAACTCTGATAAGAAGGCTGGAAAAATAGGCAGGTAGAGGCTAGAGGTTAATGCTGGATTCTTTGGCAGAAGTGAAGAGAAGAGAGCCTCATTAAGAGAACAATGCAAACTGGTATTTCCTGGATGCCACCTACTTTGGTAGCTTCGGAGTCACAGAAAATACTGTGTTTCTGTCAATCCTGTCTAGTGAAGGCTGACATTATGGTTAGTATTCCAGTCACAGTGGTATTTAATTTCTTGATAACATGGTTTATCCTGCCTTTTATTATTATTTTTCCGAGATCGGGGGCATTCAGGGTGGTATGGCCGTAGACTATTATTATTTTCAATTGCTATTTGTTACACTTATGCTTCCCCCTTGTGGGCAAGACACGGAAGGAATCCAGAGCGGGAATGGCCCACGGTGTGGAAACACTCAGGACGCAGCCCGGAAGCTGCCCCTGGGAACCGGCTGTCGTGCGCATCTTCGCCCTCAGAGGTGCTGGTCTCTATATCTGCTGATGCGACACTCTTGCTATTTAAAACACCCAACACAGGTATCAAAGAAAAGCACACCAAAGAGTAATCTAAAATCAATCATTTACGGAAAAATAATCATGATGTGTAGTCAGGCACATATGACTATTTTGCACATTTTGTATCATTATCCAAAAAAGGTGTGAGGTCCTTGAGGCAAGTATTTTCCCTGTAGGCTCCAGGCAAGAAACAATTTACGTTATTTAGTATAAATTTGTTATGGAATAGGTTGGGGAAGGCAAGTTATTTATGCAAGGGGGCTGCTTAATCAAATCAAAACTAGCTTAGTCTACTGGATGTGCACCATGCACAGGTGGAAGTTTCCTTGGGAAAAAGGCAGGAGGCAAGAAGACCAGTTTTCTCCCTGCAGCCCCTCCCATGCCTTCCCTGGCTGGGTGTGGCAGCTCTGTCTCTGGGCGAGAATATGGAGGACTAACTGAGCAACAGCTGCTGCAGAGAGACTGGGCCTTCACCCTTCATGGTCGCTCAGTGCTCTGAGGATCGGTGAGCAGCAGGGGGAAGGTGGTGTGGGCACAGACAGGGACCAGAGCTGCTCAGATTCTCTCCCGATTCCCTCCCCGCTCCCCCCAGCCACGCTGCCCCCATTCGGAGCTGTGAGAACACAATGCCTAACGGCTCGGCCTTACTTGGCAGCAGCATCTTTTCTCAGCTGCTCGTGCTTCATGAGGAGATTCTTCCGATCTCGGAAGGCTTTCCTGACCTTGTAGCCTTTGTAGACAGCCTGGATTTTGAAGGCGGCGATGTCCTGTATGGCCGCGATGGACAGGGCGCCGCGCTCCAACAGGAACTGGATCACCTCGTGGCGCTCGCCGAGCAAGGCGTAGTCAAGGGGAGTGTACCTGGAGCAGGAAGATTTTTGAAAGTGTTGGAATGTAATTCAAGGCTCAGCTACCCTGGCAATATACACGTAGGCAACAAAAACGTCATTCTAAGAGGTGAAACATTCCTCAGGCAAAGCTCTCTTCTGCCCTCCGGGGCTACTCCTTTTCTGCTCCGAGGGGCACAAAACAGGGGTGAGGCCGGGGCAGGTGCTTTGCGCTGGTGACCCCACCAAGTCCTGAGCTGTGCTCACTGGCTTGCACCCTGGGGGCTGGGAAAACGTGAGCATTCTTCCTCTTTCCCATGTTCCAAATAATTCCTTGCTCCTATCTGAAAAGGCACTGCAAATAATATTCTGTGATATTCATAATCTGAGCCCATGATGACCAATAGTTAATGCCTATGCAATAAAAAAAATGGAGGGATTTAGTAGATGATAAGCATGGTCCTTTAACTGAAGGAAGGATGAATTATTAAGTAGGGCTGGAACAACTAAGTAGCCATCTGGGGGGGAAAATTTTACATCGCACTTACTCCAAAATAAATGCTGGATTGAAGCAAAGACCTAAAATAAATAAATAACACAAACAAACAAACAAAGCCATGAATGCACTAGAAGAAATTGTGGGTGATTATTTAAAAATTGAAGTGGAAAGCTCTTTTTAAAAAATGATACAAAACTCAGAAACCTTCTGATTGATAAATGCAACTATGTACAAATTTTTAAAAAAGTTTTCAGGGCAAAAACACTAAAAACGAGGGTAAAAAAGTTCCCAAACAGCAAATACTAATGGTTCCTAAACATATGTCCAATCTCGCTCATTTAAGAGAAATCCAAATTAAGACTCGTTTGAGAGAGAGCACTTTAATAATTAGATTAGCAAAGATCAGGCGGCTGAAGAACACACTGTGCCATCAAGGATGAACAGAGGCAGCCCCTCGCACCCTCCCTTAAACTTCAGGGAGAACAACTGGGTAGGGCCATCGGAATTACCGGTGCATCTGCCGTTCACCATAGCCACTGCACTTAGACGTATTCATCCGACAGGTCTGCTCTCATTTGTGAAATGTTTTATGTACATGGACATTCTTAGAAGCACAGCTTGAAATAGTAAAAGAATGGGAACAACCTCAATATCCATTAACAGAGGGCTGGTTAAATAAAGCACAGGCCGTCTAGGCAATTGAAGACATCTGTATAATGCAGCCATTACTGCGGCCTATGAATAAATAAGAACAGTCTCCAGGATGTCTTGTTAAATGACGAAAATGAAAAAAGCAAGAAACAGAACAGTGTTATGGCACGCTCCATTTGTACAAAAAGAACAGGTCCCTGTATGTTCACCTATATAAAATATATCTCCAGATGTTTCCCCAGAAACTGGTACCAGTGGTGCTGCCTCAGGGGAGCCAGCTGGAGGGACACCCTGTTTTCACCCAGCGCCTTTTAAATCTCCTACAGTGGGCACAAGCGCCTGTTTGACAAATGTATTATTTAGAAAGGATGGGTATTATTGTCATGTAGCTACACGTTTAAATTTCAACTGGCTCTTTCTAATTGTGTGATTTTAAGCAATTTTTAAAAAAGATTTTATTTATTTATCTTCAGAGGGGAAGGGAAGGAGAGAGGGAGAGAAACATCAATGTGTGGTTGCCTCTTGTGAGTCCCCTGCTGGGAACTGGCCTGTAACCCAGGCATGTGCTCTGACTGAGAATCGAACCATGATCCTTCGGTTCACAGACCTGCGCTCAATCCACTGAGCTACACCAGCCAGGGTGATTTTAAGCAAAATTTTTCAAAAAACATTTTTCATTTTTAGAAGTATGAAACAAATCAGATAAATACACAGAAGAAAATAAGTCACCTATCTCACCTCCCTCACAATTACCCACCGTTAGTATCTTGGCAGACATGCTTTCCTTTTTTAAAGGAAAATGACTGCTTCATAAAAATGCCACATTTAAGCATCTGAAAATGCCAAAAGGAACCAAAATGCAGGCAGGCACCCAAGCCCCAACTCCGCCATCTAACCGTGGCGACGATAACGGCCATTCGTCAACAAGCCACGCGCTGTTTCTAGCCACAGGCCTCCTCGTCACCGACTGGGCGTCACCGACTGAGCGACGGGCGACACGAAACAACTGTGAGGCTCGGCACTGCACGGGCTGCACGGAAGGGGCGCGGGAGCGTCGGCCATTCCTGCTACCGTCACCGGACCCGTCACCGGACCGGCACCGGGTGTGATCTGTGCCACAGTCACTCACCAGGCAGATTATTTCCACTGGACCCAAACGGGTATTTCTAACTACCTAATGGTGGCCACTGGTCCGACTTCTTCCTGAGTGACTGTTACTAATTCAATGCATTAAGAGATACTAGGAGGAGATAATCACCTGATTTCTGAGGAGGAATAAATGACTATATGGATGAATCATCAGACACAGAAAATCATTCAGTGATTATAGAAAAAGAAAGCTCTCTCTTCAAAATCCACCTAACAGCCACAGTAAGCCATAAAAAGATGAGTTCGCCTGGCTGGATCATTGGTGCGGCAAACACAAAGCGTCTTCGCGGGCAAACACAAAGCAAAAAAAAAAAAAAAAAAAAAAAAAAAGATGAGGTTCTCAGTTTAAGCAAAGGGTGTGGTTCGGTCACTTCAGTATGGGAACTCGGAATTCAGAAGAGAGCCCCAAATGCTAAAATTAAGGAACCGCTGTGTAAGGACAGCTCAATTTGCCACTCCTGTTCGGAGACCAGAAGGCCATAAGTAAAGATGCCTATGTAATCTCAAAAACACTATTTATAAGTGGATAGAGTTTTACAAATTCAGAAGAACTTTTAAAAATATAACTACACGTTCAATGGAAAATATTATCACACAATAGTAGAGCTAATTTAGTGTATTAAATGAATAAATGGACCCAGAAAAATTGGGCAGCTCGCTGAAGGCTGTGTAACTAGTTACCTGCAGAGTCTAGACTGGAAGTAAGATCGAACGACTGACTCCCCTGTCCAATAATGTTTCTACAACTCATCTATCAATTATTGAGTATAAGTCTCTTATACCTCGTAGAATGAAACTTCTAAAATCAGCTCACAAATAACCTATATTTAGTAAGCTTGATCATTTTTTCTACAATTAAAATAAGGTGTCTTTTACATAGTACACAAGCAGGATTATCAGAATCTGGTTTATGAAATGAAGGCCTGACCCATGCCTTTTCTTACAGATACGACAAAAAGGAGTAACAGGTGGCGTAAGAGACGCTAAAGAACGTGGAACTGGGAGCAGCAGACCTGGGGGACTGTGGGCATTCTCTCCGCCTCTCTGAGCTTCTGTGTTCTTACTTGTAACAGGCAAAAAGGAAGGATGGATCTCTCAGGCTATTTGTAGATGAAAATTGCATTTCAAATGTTTTTAATATCTTTATTATGAAAAATTGTACTTTTATTAGGAGAAATTTCAAACATCAACAAAGGTAGGGAGTTTGTAGTTACATATTCCTGTACTCACTCATCATCCACATTTAACACTTTGCAAGACTTTTGCCACATTTGCTTCATCCAAGCCCTTTCTTTTTACTTTTGCTAAAGCATTTTAAAAATCAAACCCCAGAACTCCTGTCCCCGCATTTCAGTGTTAATCTATAAATAATATGAACATAATCATGTCATTATTGTATTAACAAAATTCCTTAGTAAGACCCAATACCCACCCCATGATCAAAGTCCCCCCAATTTTCTCAAAATTGTCTTTTTTTTTAAAACAACTGGTTTATTTAGGATTCTCAGTCAATTTTTGATCAAAGGAACACAATCCAAATGTGTAGCAAGGTTTTAAGATTGTGGAGTTTAAGCAATTGACCATATTGTGATTATTACTATTGTGTCTTTCTTCACCCCCAATTCAATTTAGAAACATTCAGATGCTGTGAATATACACCTCGATGTCAGAGTGTGGCTGTCAGGAAGTTATTGACTGAAAAGCCAGCAGGAGCTGGCAAAAATTATGTCTATGCAGGGCACATCAAGGGTCAGTGTCAGCTCATGAGAAGTAAAAATTAGCACCGCAGTGATGGTAACCAGCCAAGAAGCAATGCAGATAAAGACAAGCGACGAGATACAATTGGACCTGCCATGTGGGAATGGTCTGATGGGGTGAGCAGAATGCCTAAACTGGAATGTCAATAAACATAAAAGGCAGCGCCAAGTTCTGACATTTGTACATCAAGGTGCATTGCTGATGATACATTAGAGGGACCTGGAATAGTGCCACTGTCTCTTTTCATCTATAGATTGGCAAGTACAGTTAGGCGAATTTTTCCTCTGGCCTTTTGGTCTGTAATTAATACATGTTTACTCCAGGAGGCAGTAAGCCTTAATTCACAGGCTCACTTAGGTCTGAAATTTAATGCTTAACATATAAATGAGAACTGAATTGCAAACAAAATATTCTTTTACTGTTCCCCCAAAATAGTAGTCATGCTGTAAACACTGTAATATCGTAGAATGAATGCTTTATAGAAATAAATCATCACTAATTCTTAGGATGCTTAAACTTTCCCTTTTGTTGTTTTAGGATTTATAAGGGAGAAATCTTCAGCTCTCTCACATATCTGCTTTAATGTCGAAACCTCACTCTGGAGGGTTCCATTTGGCTTTCCAACCAACCCCCTAAACCCTCAAGTTGTCTTTGTTTTGCAGTTGTCATATGACTATAATAGAGATAGTTCTTTATACAATTGCTCCTAAAGTAAGATATGCCACAGAATTCATCTAATTCTGCAATGTGCTCTAAAAATTGCAGAAGTTTCTAATGCAGGTATGAAGTGGGGTGATGCTTACTAAGAGCCTGAAAACATGAACTTGACAATTCAATAGTTGTTTACTGATTATTTAATTCAAAAAACAAAAAAGCACTGTAAGCAATACAGAGATGACCATGGTCTTCAGGAGTTCTCTGCTAATGCGGAGGACAATTACACAGTGTAGGGGGACAAAGCGTGGGACACATGACCGTGGGACCAGAACGAACTCCTCAGAAGAGACTGCATTTGAACAGAGGAATGACATGCGTAACAATCACACTAGGAATACAGTTTAGGCGACTGTAGAAGCAGATGAATTGAATGAGGAAAGATCAAAGGTGCGAAAACAGCAAGGGGACACTGCGACAGTCCCAGGAAGAGTCGAAGAGGGCTGGACCTAGACACTGATGCAGGTGATGAAGTGAAGCCAGGAGAGATACCAAGTCTGAAACACAGTTTTAGAGGTCGCCGGGGCCCGGGTGACTGCTGAAGCCTCAGCGGCAGGTCAGACTGCCAGAGGAGACTGGCTGAGAGACGGGACCCAGTCCTCCAGGAATGTTTCTATTAAAAAAAAAGAGAAAAAACAAACAAAACCAGAAGAGGAGCCAAAAGAAATAAAGAAGGAGGAGACATGATTAGAAGAGAATCAGGAAGATAAACTGCCACAGAAGCTTAGAGAAGATATTGTCACAATAAGGTAAAGAAGAAGCAAGAGAACCAGGATGCAGAAAGGCCAGCGGGAGTAGATGGAGAGGACCACATAAGGCTTTTCAATTGGGAATTCGTCAGGGACCACTCAGACCCAGATTTCAGTACAGATGTGAGGATGGAAGCCAGACTGCACAGGCATGAAGGGCGAGCGTGCAGAACTGGGGCCACGAAGACAGTCTGAGAGAAGGCAGTCTTCAGAGACAGAGAGGACCAACTTCAGAACAAGGCATTGGAAAATAATGGATGGAGGACATAACTAACAGGAAAGGTTCTGAAAGAAGTGGGGAAGGTGAAGGGGTTGGCCCCAGACAGGAGGAGCATGCTTCCGCTGAGACAGCTGCCTAGAGAATGTTCTTCTTTTCAAAACTTCCACCACAGAAGGAAAGAACTGGCTGTGGCGGCTAAGAGGGTGGGGACGGTGTCAGAGCAGGGGCCACTTAGTGAGAGAATCCATGGACATGAAAGCTGGAGTGCAGACCAGGACCAGGGGGAGTTCAGGTGTGGAAGTCTGATTACAAACTTAGCTGTTACCTATAAATTACTAGAATCTTCCTAGACCCAACCCCACTAAGCATCTCTTCTGCTTAGACTTCACACTGTGTCTCGTCCTTTTCATTGGCCCGGGGCCTTGAGGAACAATGCCAGCTTAACTCTGAGGATCTCATATTGTTCAAGAAATCTGTACTGGGACCAAAACCTGGACCAGCTTAGCTTCTCGTTTTTTCATGCTATGTGCTGGGGACCTTTGTCCACTAACTGATAATATCCTCTTCACCAACAAAAACTTCTTAACTATGTAACACATGCCACTGGCCTAACCAAATGCTAATCCTGGTCAGTCGGGACCCCCTGACTTTATGACGGCCACCAGTGGGAAGAAGGCATAGGAGTTTCCTCATCTATAAGATGTGAGCTTACCCTAAGTAATACCTAACGTTCTGAACAGCTTTAACATCCCAAGATTCCAAGTCAACACTGCACGGAACTTTTGATCTGTTTTTCTGGCTCAGGATTTCTTTCTTTCTTTTTTAAAAAAAGATTTTATTTATTCATTTTTAGACAGAGGGGAAGAGAAGGAGGAAGAGAGGTAGTGAAATATGAGTGTGTGGTTGCCTCTCAAGCACCCCATACTGGGGACCTGGCCCAAAACCCAGGCATGTGCCCTGACTGGGAATTGAACTGGCGAGCTTTCAGTTCACAGCCCATGCTCAATCCACTGAGCCACAGCAGCCAGGGCTGGTTCCGGATTTCTTAATGTAATGCTTTCCTTATGAGTATAATTCTTATTTCTGAAACAGTATCTAATGCTGAGATGTTTAATCTGGTAGAAAGGATGTGATATGAACAGTATTTTTTAAAAACCAACAGCTTACTTACCTCTCTTCATTGTTTTCCATCTGATTAGGAAAAGCAGCGAAGTCTAGCAGTAGTTTGATGGCGTCCAGGTACCCATTGTTACAGGACCAGTGCAAAGCTGTTCTTCCCTGCAAGCATGAGCAAAAATCCGGAGTGAGTACACCTGGGGCAGGTATTTTTGGACACAGGTATTCGTGCCAACTCAAAAAATAAACAATTCTCCCCCCAAATTACTTACTTACAATAAGGGAAAATATTACCTATACAGTGGAGAAAAAGCCAGTCTCTCAACCAACCGATCGAGATTAGCACTCCTGTAGAGGGCACTGAGTGCCTCCAGAGGTGACATCAGAGGAGGCGCTGTCACTTCTACGAGGTCCCAACCAAAGTGTAAAATCTGAATCTAATTATCAGGAGCCATAAGGTAAACCCAAAGAGTAAAATAAAATAGATAACCTGCACTATCAAAAATGTCAACGCCATAAAAGTCAGGTCCTGAGGCACTGCTAGAGGTAAAGAGGGACATTTCGTAGCGTGAAAGCAAAGAGGGCATCACCATCCCACGTGCACATGCACCGAATAGCACAGCTTCTAAACACACAGGCTGCGCCTGACAAATGAGCAGGAGAGACAGTCACATCCATAATCACGGTGTGGTTTAAAAAGATGAGATTTTTAACTCATCTTTTACAACACTGGGTAAAACAAACAGTACAGATAGATATGGGAGATGTGAACAATACAATGTAAAAATTTAACCTGAGTGATACACATAAATCCATAAAACACTGCATCCAACACTGACAAATCAGTAGTTTTCAGGTGTACACAGAACATTTACCAAAATCAACCATAACCTGGGCCACAGAGAAAGCCTCAAAAGACATTGAAAGATTAAAATAATTCAGAGTATATTTTCTGACCACAGTAAAATTTAAGATACAAATTAGTGTAACAGTGGAATAATGCACTGCCTTGTAAAGACGTCTACATCCTAATTTCTGGAATCTGTAACTATGTTATGTTACATGGAAAGTGAAAATTTAGGATGCAGATGGGACTAAGGTTGCTAATCATCTGACCTTGAGGTAGGAGATTATCCTGAATTATCCGGGTAGGCCCAATGTAGTCACAGGGCCCTTATTAGTGAAAAAGGGAGGCGGGAGGGTGAGTGTCGGGGGTGCAGTGTGAGAGAGACGCAGCCAGTTACCGTGAGCTTTCATGGTGGAGGAAGGGGCCCAGGCCAAGGAATGAGGGCGGCATCTAGATGCTGGAAAAGTCAAGAATTGGACCCTCACCTAGAGCCTCTGAAAGGGAGGGAGTCCTGCCAACACCTTAATTTTGATTTTTCGACCAATGAGGCCTATTTTGGGTTTCTGACACCCGTAACAGTAAGATAATAATTTCTGTTGTTCTAAACCACGAAGTATGTGGTAATTTGTTATAGCAGCGATAGGAAATTAAGGCAATAAATAACGAAAGGATAGTAAGAAAAATGCCTAACTGCCTGGAAATTAAATAATACACTTCTGAATATTCCATGGGTCAAATAAGAAATCAAAACAGAAATGGGAAAATGTTTGAACGGAAAGATAGTGATGGTATAACCCATCCAAACTTGTAGGATACAGTTAGTGCTTGGAGGAAGAAGTATGCTTATATACACAGATTATAAAAGAATAGTGGGATTTAAACTAGAAATAAACTAGAAATAAACTAGAAATAAACTAAATTAAACTAGAAAGAAAATCAAGGATTTAAACTTGCACTGAAAAGAATTTTTTTAAAAAATAGCAAGTCAAACCTGAGGAAAGTAGATGGTAGAAAATAATAGATGTAAGAGTAAATACCATGAAATAGTTAAAAAAACAAAAAAACAATAGAGAAAATCAACAGAGACAGAAGTCCTTTGAAAAGATGAATAAGCAAAATGGAAAAGTTATTTTAGAAAGAAAGGAGACGATGCACATTACTAACATATGAGCGAACGAGGAAACATCACTATGGTCCTACAGACATAAAAAAGATAAAAACCTGTGTGACCAATTAAAATGAACACACTTGTCTTTCTAAGTAAAATAGAGAAATTTCTCAAAAATGCAACTTACTTAAAGTGGAGAAGAAAATAATTAGAAAATATAAATACTCTTATAATTATTAATGGAACTAAATCAGTTGTTAATGACGTTTACACAAAGGAAACATGTAGACCTGGTGACTTCACCAGGAAATCCTCCTAACATTTAAGGAGGAAGTAACACCAATGTACATGAACTTGTTAGGAGAATAAGAAAAGAGGTACTGCTTCTGCAAGGTCAGTGTAACCCTGCTACTGAAACCTGGTAAGTATGATAAAAGGAAGAACAATTATAGGTCAAACTCTCTGATGAACATATATGCAAAAATCTCAAAATATTAGCTAATAAAATCCACTAATATATATTTGAAAATATATCATATGTGGGGTTTACTCCAGGAATAAAAGGATAGATTAATTTCTGAAAAAAAAAAAAAAAAAAAAGGTAACCAATCAATGTAATTCATCACACTAACAGCAAAGAGGAGAAAAATAATACAATCATGTTGACTGATGCAGAAATAATATGACAAAAGTTAAACAGCTAATTGTATTTTAAAAAACTCTGAGCAACTACAAATATAAGGGAACCTATAGCAAATATCATATTCAATGGTGAAATATTTAAAGCTTTCTCCTTGAGAAGCCAGAATGAATGAGGAATGTCAACTATAACCAATTCTATTCAACACTGTATTGGAGGTCCTAGTTAGTTTAATAAGGTATGACAAGAAGTGAAAGGCATACAGATTGGAAAAGAAGAATGAAAAATGTTATTATTCATACATAGTATAATTGTTTATGCAGCTAATCCAAAACAGTACACATAAAAACACTACATATAAAAGCAGAACTGGAAGGTAAGACACTGGCAACTTGTAAAAAATGTAAAAGGTATTGCAAATTATAAAAGATGTATTTGTAATAACATAGGTACAAGGACCATATTTATATATTTTCATTATGTTAAATTTATATCTAGTAACAACCTTCATAAATAGTTATCGAAGGCATCAATAGGAAATATATTTTCTGACTTGGAAAAACATAACATGCTAGGATTTTTTAAGAATGAAAGTACCAAAAAAGGTCAATATTGGCTAAATTGGGAGAAAGCACTATATTACTACACAGCTGGGGGAAGCACAGATTAACCCACATGTTTTAGAAATCAGTTCAAGTGTATATATCAAAGCCTAATCACAGTCATATACCATTTGTTCTTTGATTCAATAATCTCACTAAGGGGAAATTATCCCAAGGGAATAATCCAAAATAAAAATTAAATGCATATAGATGATTAATGCAACATGATCTGTAATAAAATGTGTCTAGCGATAGAAAATTACTTATTTAATTCTAAAATTTGGGTGACAGGCATAGTTTGGACCCTGACTCCCTCCAACCTGCCACTGTTATCCCCTTAGGATAATCATTTAAGCTCTGTGAACCTCAATTTCCTCATCTGTAAAATGGGGATAATAATAGTAGCAACTTTATAGAGTTGCTGTGAGGACTGAGTGAGTTGCTAAGCATAAAGCTATCAGAACTTTGGAATATTAAACATCCACGATTATGAAAATATAAAACAAATGTAATATTTTAATAGTTAATAATAATGGTGATAATTTTTAAAAAGATTTTATTTATTTTTAGAGAGAGGGGAAGGGAGAGAAACATTCATGTGTGAGAGGCGTAACCATCACCCACCCCTCACATGCCCCCAACTGGGGACCTGGCCTGCAACCCAGGCATGTGCCCTGACCGGGAATTGACCCGGTGACCTTTCGGTTTGCAGGATGGCCTTGAATCCACTAAGCCACACCAGTCAGGGCAATACTGGTGATAATTTTAAGTGAACAAAACAAAATGTGGCTTGTAAAATCATATCATATATATTTACATACATATCTATATACCATGTATATATATTTTACAAAAGCTATTATTCCCACTTTATGTAATGACTTTGTTAAATTATATAGATATATAAGCAAGGACTTGGAAGAGAACATGTACAAATAAGAATCATTTTTAATCAACGGATTTGTGGGGGATCTCTTCGTTTGGCACATTATCGTTTTATTTCATTTCAGTGAATAAGGAAAAAAAATACTCTTAAACACTTTGGAGCAAACAATAGAGAAAAGATCCAGAACCTCTACCTCTTTGTCTTGAATGTTAGGGTCGGCATTATTCTCCATGAGCACTGCCATGCAGTTGATGTATCCCCCATACGCAGCGCACTGCAAAGGGGTTCTTCCTGCGTAATCTTGCACATTTGGGTTGATCTTATTTTCTATCAATATCTGGCACACATCAGCATTTCCTCCCAGCGCTGCCCAGTGTAGAAGAGAATGTCCATCTTGGTCAACTAGATCTACCCTTGCGCCACCTGAAAAAGCAAGAATACAATGAAAAGTACTAATACAGAGAGCATTAATCAACATTTTAAATACATAATAGTCCCTGAAATGCTTTACATTTAGCAAAGTATTTCCACGTATATTATCTGCATCATATTTTGACAATAAGCTTATACATTGGTCAGGACAGGCATTGTATCTCTTTTATAGAAAATGCAACAACCTCAGGCAGGTGAAGTGACTTTGCCAGAATCACACAACCACCAACAGGTGGAGCTAGGCCCTCGTGCTGCCTTATGCGAGGCGGGCGCTCTTCCCTTCACCCTTCTAGCCCCGTGGCTCTCTGCCACGTAAGGCTATATATTTCAGATGGTGAATGCAACAATTCCAACCTTCGAGAGTGACTTAGTAGGAGCATTCTTAATAACGAACCTTTAATAAGTGTCTGAATCACATCTTTGTGTCCCATCTCACAGGCTCGGAAAAGTGGAGTGTGTTTCATGACATCAGTAGCATCTACTTGAGCGTTATTTTCCAATAACAACTTCACGGTGCTGACATGGCCAGAAAGGGCAGCAGCATGTAAAGCTAAAAAAGGAGCAAGAGAAAGTGGTAAACTCTTCAATAACAACTTTACCTCTTTATTATTCTAACTATGTATCTTTTCCTTCTTTGATTTTCTCCATCATTTTGGCTAAATGCAAGTTGATCTTAAGCATTTTGTATTTTCCACTTTTCTAGATTCCTCTTCTTCCTTCTCTTTGTACGTATTACACTTTTCTCCTTTCCTTCTACATATCTCATCTCACTGTTTGCTTCCTTTCCATCCTGTTGATCCCAAATGGTCCCTTTCTCTTAGTTACTACTTTACTATTTTTTCCTTTCTGAGAGAGCAAGAGAAAACAAAAAATGACAAAGAAATAATTTAAATGAGACAGGCAACTCTGCCCACCAATGCACTCAATAAGCATACACTCAAGGGACGGTGTGACATCACTGGTTTCTTCAGTGGGTCACATGAGCGCTTCCTGTGGTTGGCCTGTGAAACCGCGTGCTACTGAGAGTTGGCACGACTCACTGCATCAAGTGCATTCTTCACACAACACAGCTCCAGCAGTTTCTGCAGGGCCCAATTTAGGACAGCAATTCGCTGAAGCATTGGAGAGCATGTGGAGGTGGAATGCGATCTCTCCTCTGGTGCTCTTGGAAGGGATTTGGAAAACTATTGTGACTACATGTGAGTCTCACGTTGGGCTGACACCTGCCTACGTCACTCCATTCTAGTGCTTGTCTTGTGCCACCATTCTCTAGGTTACTCTTTAAATTCTGCGGAATTTGCCTGGGTAACTCTGCAGAGGCTTGGGCCAATTCTTTCTAAGTATGATGGCTCCAGAGTGCCCAGAACAATGTTTCTTTCATGAAGTGTCACCCATGAATCAGAATCTAGGATTCCTACAAAATTGCAGGTTCCTGGAGATTTGTTGAGAACATACTACAGGCTGGGTATTAATGTAATTGATGAGAATTCAGGAGGGAACAAAACAGATAAGGTTACATTCTAGTTGGGGAATAAAACCTTCCCCAGATATGTGAACAAGAAACTATTAGATAGTGACGAATGGTATAATTAAAGTAATGAGTAATAAAAGACATTTTGATTTCAGAGTGACTGGGTCACTCGATTTGGGGTGACTTCTGATTGGGGTTAGGGAAAGCCTTTCTAAGGAGATGACATTTGAGACCTGAATGATAAGAAACGGAGAGAAATGCGGCGATCTGGACAGAGCAGCTTGGGCAAAGGAAACAGTTAGTACAAGGACAGGAATGGATCCATGCTTAAGGAAGGGAAAGAAGCTGCAGCACAACAGGCAGAAAAGTCCAGACCACAAATGGCCATGCAGGTCAGCGCTGGAAGACACTGAAGGGCTTTAAATAGGTGAGGGACATTTTCCGATTTGTGGATTAAACAGAAAACACCCTAGCTGTTCTGTGACAATGCATTGTGGTAGATTAGAATAAAAGCAGGGAGGCCAGTTAAAACTATGGCAGTGGACTGGGTGAAAAATGATGGCTTGAACTAGGGTGGCTAGAGTGGTGATGGAGAGGAGCAGAAAGATGTAGAATGTATGTTGGAGGTGGAGTCCACAGAACTTGTTGCTAGGATGTGAATAGGATCTTTGTCCATATATTCTGGAAATGTGCATTTCAAGGAACAGCCCTGGTAATTCTCATGCATACTTGAGCTTGAGAACTCTGACCTAAATGGACAAATTCTGGTTTGGCCCACACAAGATCCAGACAGGTGTGAGAGGTTTCACATGCCTGAAGTACTGTCACATGGAAGAGACCACAGCGTGGAACGTTCAGGTTGACAAATTTTGGCTTAGTACGAGGAAGGACATTCTAGGAGAGTCAGGTTAGCAGGGAAGCAGTGCGTTCCCTACATTGGAGCTGTTCAGAGGCTGAAAGACCACTACTGAGGAATGTTGTAATGCAGGTTCAGGCGTGAAACACCTGTGCTACTTCCGCTGTTTTCACATTTTAAGAGAATAAGAATGTTTTTTCCCCAAATGAAATCTTACAAAACACTCAACACATTAAACAGATAAGAGCTGTTCTGCTAGAGCAGGAGTGGAGAGTTATCCATTTAAGCACCCACACCCTCAGCTCACTTCAGGTACCTCTACAGAAACCGGGCACTCTGAAGAACATGGCTTGGAAAACCCTGGACTAGATCTAATTTTAAGGTATTTTCTAATTCTGAAATCCTATAATGCTGTGATAGGGCATCAGGATACAACAGATAGATACTCTTCAGATAAATATCAGTGTCAAATAAAAAGAAACAGACACAATGTCAACTAAGCAAAAAATAGAACAAATGATCTTATTAAAGGAAATTCCCCATTTCTGAGTATTTGCATTTATTTATTTAAAAATAACCTTAGACTTAAATATTGTTGCTTCCTCTTTGAAAAAATGCTGCAAGTCTACACAGAAGTGCTATTTTTTTAAAAGTTAAATTTATCTTATGCAAAATTTTAAGCATATTCAAAAGGAAAGGCAGTAGTCTGGTAGCCCGGATGAAGAGAATGGCCGAGCCCCAGCCATCCCCAGCACGTGGGTGCCCTTGCTCCCTCCAGCCGCCTTCCATCCGCTTCACTTCTGATTATTTTTATTAAAGTTATAGAGTCATATTCTTCCGTTTGCAAATATTTTAGTAAGCATATTTGAAAGACACGGGTTTTTTGTTTTTTGTTTTTTTTAGAAACACAACCACTGTATCAATTAGGGCCCATTTAGGAGACAGAAACCACGCCAGACACACTTACAGAGAGAAATTAATACAAGAACTGTTAGCTATGTACTGAAGAACTAAAAAAGCCAAAAGGGAAGACTAAGGTATCACAGAGGCAGTAAATGCAGAAAACATCTACAAATTCTAGGCCCGGAGGAACAAAAACAAGAGGATGGAAATGTTAAAATTAAAAAAGCCTGGATGAGGAGCCCTGCAGAATGGAAACTCGGACCTCTGAGGAGGGGCTCTGCTTGGTTGGCTAGTTCTGGTGTCTCTGAGGAGGGTGTCGAGGGTGCTCTGAGGCAGGCACTGTGAGTGATGGAAAAACTGAAAGTAAAATTAACATTACCACTGGAACAAAGTACAGTGATGAACACAGGAAGGACAGGAAACAAAAACAAGAATAGTAAGCACACAGGAATATGTAATCCTCGTTGCTCAGCCAGATTTCCAGTCTTGCTCTACTGCCCCCTATGGGCTGATTCTAGCAGGGCATCAGCTGGCAAAGGAGAAACGTGGTTTGCAGAGCTTCAGCCCCAGCATTCCAAAGATAGTCCCATTATCATTCCTAAAAAATATTAACAAAAATTCTGTAATAGCAAATATCCAGATAGTGCTTATATTTTCCTGATGGCTTTATCATTTTTTAAAAAGATTTTATATATTTATTCTTAGAGACAAGGGAAGACAGGGAGAAAGAGGAGAGAGAAACATCAATGTACAAGAGATATATTGACCAGCTGCCTCTTGCACGCCCCCAAATGGGGCCCTGGCCCACGACCCAGACATGTGCCCTGAATGGGACTCAAACCTGTGATATTTTGGTTTACAGGATGGCACTCAATCCACTGAGCCACACCAACCAGGGCTGGCTGTATCATTTTTTTTATAGTTTATTTCTTTGAATCAAGATCCAAATAATGTCTGTAGATTATGGTTGATAAGAACTTTTTTAAAGCAAATTTAAATCTACTGATTACTACTATTTTTTGCTTTTTTATTTTTGTTTCCAATTACAGTTTAGAACTCCTTTTTTCAATGGGGAGGACAAAATAACACTACAGAGGGATGATGGAGAGGAACTAACTTTCACAGACAAGAAATGTCAAGGGGCATCTCTGACATATAATAAAACCCTTAGGAGAAAGAGCCCAGGGAGTTAATGAATCTGAGAAAAAGTTACGTCTGAACTCCAACCACAGAGCACCTCAGAAAGGCAACTTTGGCCAAAAGGATGCAAGCACTCTCACCTATACCTCATTAAAATACATGAAAAGTTAAACTAGAAGTAAGGCTGGTGATAAAGTGAAAGACTGCATACTAATGGAAGTAAAAAAAAAAATTAAATGTTTAAACCATTTATAAACTCAGTGATATCCTATGTATCTGTGTTATACCTCTTGAGAAGTTTAAGGTCTACTGTGAGGCTTTGTTAAGAAATGACTTTGAAAGTTAAAGCCTTCATCAAAATTCACATTATCTAAAAACTCTTTAAAAAATAATTTAGAGGGGGTGGCAGTGTAGGTACAGGGAGAGATTATTAGGTGCAGTGACTTCCCTCTCTACCCTCCCCCCAGTGCTGGATCAATAGCTTTTGTGGCCCAGAAAGGTCTTCTCCAGTACGATACGTAGCCGCAAATGGCTCTGGTATGTTTCCACAAATAAGAGAACATAACATTGAGAAGCCTGTCGTGTTACTGTGCTCTGGTGTGATTTTCTTTCCCACTTGTCATGAGGATCTAGTACATCAGACAGAAACCCCCAGCTGACAATGAAGACTAAAAAACCTGTACCTCTCTTACTAATGAAAACGTAGTTAACAGTCTCTCTTAGTAGAAAAAGAGATGGAAAGAAGTATCTGGTAAGAGCTGCTGACGCAAAGTTGACCTGAAGCTTTAAAGTTTCTAGAGTCATGGGGGTTATCTCTAAAATAGCAGGATGAGGTAAAGCTATTCAAATCTGAGAAAAGAGCATATTAAATTGAGACTGGTGAGAATATACTCAGATGAATGCATTCCTAAAAATAACACTCAAGTTTTGGAAATACAATGAATTACTAAAATCTGTAGTTTTAAAGTATAGGTTTCTGCTTTTTTACATGAAGATACTCAGAAGAGTTCCCGTAAGCATGTCTAAGGAGCAACCAGGGTTTTAAACCAAATGCCACCATTTGCCTGGTAGAAAAAGAGGCTAATTTTAGCTGTCATACTCGGGGGAAATAAGGCCTATGAGTGATATCCTGGCAACCTAGACTGAAAAGTAAAGATGAAAGTCAAACAACATTGAATTAGAGAGGATGATTTTAAAGTACTATTGTACCAGTTTTATGGCGCCATCTACATTTTGGAGCCTGGATGAAAGCAAATCAATCGTGTCTACCAGTTCTTACCTGTGCCTCCGTATTTGTCTGCCATGTTGATGTCAATGTCAGACTTTAAACTCAGCATAGTCCTAAGGACGTCATCACTGCCTTTCCCAGCAGCCCACATAAAGGATGTTCTTCCTTCAAGGTCTGAATCATCTTTCACAGAAGGATGTTCTAAAAAGACTTTAACCGTTTCCTGTAAGAAAACTTCATTTAAAACTTTGAGACATTACAGTAGTAGTATTTTTGAAATTACATTTTACTGATTACGCTATTACACTTGTACTGATTTTCCGCCCTTTGCCCTCCCTCCACCCAGCACCCACCACTCCTTCAGGCAATGCCCCCTCCACTGTTCATGTCCATGGGTCATGCGTTTAAGTTCTTTGGCTACTCCATTTCCTATACTGCACTTCACATCCCCATGGCTATTCTGTATCTACCTAATTTTACTTCTTAGTCCCCTCACCTCTACCCATTCCTCCACAACCCCAACCATCTGGCAACCATCAAAGAACTTTCTATATCCATGATTCTATCTCTGTTCTTGTTTGTTTAATTTGTTTTTTAGATTCAGTTGTTGATAGATTTGTATTTTTTGCCATTTTATTGTTCATAGTTTTGATCATCTTCTTTTTCTTAAATAAATCCCTTTAACATTTCATATGATAATGGTTTGGTGATGATGAACTCTTTTAGTTTTTTCTAGTCTGAGAAGCTCTTTATCTACCCTTCAATTATAAATGGTAACTTTGCTGGGTAGAGCAGTCTTGCTTGCTTTTCATGACTTTAAATATTTCATGCCAGTCCCTTCCGGTCTGCAAAGTTTCTTTTGAGAAATCACCTGACAGTGTTATGGAAACTCCCCTGTAGTTAACTAATTTCTATTCTGTTGCTGCTTTTAGGAATCTCTCTTTATCTTTAACTTTTGGCATTTTCTTTATGATATGTCTTGGAGTGGTCCTCTTTGCATCCATCTTGTTTGGGATTCCCCGTGCTTCCTGGATTTGTATGTCTGATCCCTTCACTAAATTAGGGGAGTTTTCCTTTCATTATTTTTTCAAGTACATTTCCAATTTCTTGCTCTTTCTCTTCTCCTTCTGGCACCCCTATGATGTGAATGTTGAACCTCTTGAAATTGTCCTGGAGGCTGCTTATACTGTCCTCATTTTGGGGGGTTCTTTTTTCTTCTTGTTATTCTATTGGTCATTATGCTCCATATCACTGATCTGATTCTCGACTTCATTTACCCTACTGTTGTTAACCTGAAAATTATTCTTTATTTCAATTAGTGTATCCTTCGTTTCTTACTGAATCTTTTTTATGTTGCTGAGGTTGTTACAAAATTCCTTGAGCATCCTTATAACCAGTGTTTTGACTGACTTCTACATCTGATAGATTGCTTATCTCCATTTCATTTAACATTTTTTTCTGGAGCTTTGATGAGTTCTTTCATTTGGGCCATGTTTCTTTGTCTCCTTGTTTTGGCAGTCTCCCTGTGTTTGTTTCTGTGTATTAGATAGAGCTGCTTTGACTCTGTGTCTTGGTAGTGTGGCCTACTGTAGTAGGTGCCCCGCAGGGTGCAGTGGCACAGCCTCCCCTACCACCCAAGCTGGGTACTTGAGGTATGTCCTTTGTGTGGGCTGAGTACACCTTCCTCTTGTAGTTGAGCCTTGGTTGCTGTTGGCAGATCAATGGGAGGGATTTACCTAGACCAGTTAGTTGCAAGGACTGGCTGTGACCATTGACCACCAACCTCTGCCCTCCATGGAGGATCAGCTGTATAGAGTAAGGTGGTGGTGCTCCAGTGTGGTCTGTTGCTGTCCACTGAGTACATTGGGCCTGGAGTTTCCCAGGTGGTGCAGGCCAAGATCAGCACCCACCTGTGTTTTGCCCTGGGCCACCCTGCCTGGGCCACCCTGCTTATAAAGCAATATAAGATGGCTGCTACTTAGCTGGGCTTGGAGATTCCCAGGCAAAGCCAAGCTGTGAATCTAGGCTGGCTGCTGCTAATGCCAGGCCTGGGGTTCACTGAGGCCAGCTGTTGTTTGTTTAATAGCATTTAGGAAGTAGTGAAGCATGAGCTAAGACCAGCCATTCATATAGAAAAGCAGTAAGTTGGGTGGGGGAGAGTCTTTGGGGATCTCCAAGGTGGGTCAAATAGTGTTAGCTAGGTTGATGGAGTCAGCTATGACGCCAACTTGCCAGCTCTGTGAGGGGAGTGTTTAGAAAAGGAACAATAGCCTCTGCTCACCTGGATGCCAGACACTTCAGTTTCTGCCTCTGTACCACTGGTGGCTTTTAAGCTGCTACCCAGGTGCTGGAACTCAGAGGGAGTGAGTCGGACTAAGTCCAAGTGTGGGTTTTTAAAGAACTGCTTGGGGCTCCAGCAGTTTTTTCCACTGACTCAATCCCCCTGGTTTTTGCAGCCAGAAGATGTGGGGACTTATGTTCCTGGCACTGGAATACTGGGATGGAGGGCCTGGCGTGGGGCTGGGACTCCTCGCTCCCACAATAACCCTTTTGAATTTTTATCTACCACACGTGGGTGTGGAACCAGCTTGATCCATGTTTGTGCCCCTTCTACCAGTCCGGATGAATGTCGTTTCTTCAATTCCATAGTTGTCAGACTTCCATTCAACTCGACTTCTGATGGTTCTGAGTGATGGTTGTTCTATATTTTAGTTGTAATTTTGATGTGGTTGTGTGAAGAGGCAAGCCATGTCTGCCTATGCCACTATCTTGACTAGAAGTCCGAAAGGAGTATTTATTACAGTAACAAAGCTACTATTATATGTGACTTCTACTGGGAAGCAAAGTATTTTTCCCTGCTTTTGAATCAAAAGAAATTATTGTAGGATTTTTGTTATTGTTGATGTTTTTCAAAAAGAGAACGGAAACCTCTTATAAATTACTAAGGTACAAAAATATCAAGGGCTTTGAAATTGAGCTTAGAAAAAAATCATTTCTGGGATTGGCAGGTTATCTAAAACGAGCATTTCTTTGACTAAACATCCACAACGTTCGACTGTTCTTTCTCAGTCCCACTGGCCCAGTCACTGACTTACTGGTGTCTGTACCTACGTTAAATTGGGAGTAAGACTTGGGTTCAAGGTGTTGGGCAAGTCACTTAATCTCTTGGAACCCTGGTTTCCTCTCTAATAAATAGGGATACTCTGACCTGTCTTGTAACATGTTCTATCCCAGAGTCTGGTGTTGAAACATGGATTGAATTCTGATTTTCATCTATTGGCTAGACTGGGCCAACTGATTTTATCTACCTGTAATAAGAAAAAAGATTCTCTCCAAAATCTACTTTGTATTTTTTCTGAGATTTGGAAGATAAAAGAAGATAATGGTTTGCCAACACTGTAGGTGATAAATAAAACAAATTTTTATGAATGCCAGGAAGGAAGGACTACAGCTACAGTTGTTGTGTGTACCAGAGAGTCAGAAGGGTGGGAAAACGTATTTTAGCAATCCGAGTACTCAGTGTGTTTGATGAAGCTTTTGGGAAGGGCATGAAGATAGAATTATACTATGCTGATGATAGCAGTCTTATAATTTAATGAAAGCAAGGGTTGTGCTATGCATACCATCCAGAAGGCACCAAAATCAACTGTGACTGGTTTAATGCAAGCCTCTTGGATGAGTCTCTGGTTCTTGGTAGCTACTCACACTCAGGAGGCTGAAGCGGGCTGGACACTATCAGGTTACAGCTAGACTAGAGGGGCGTACTGGACAAGAGAGTGCTTTGTAAGTTTGCAAAGGGTGGCTTACAAAGTGAAGAACTGTTAATATTATTCAGTATCTTTGGAAATATCAATAATTCACATGCTTGCTTTGTCAGGTATATGATGTACATTATTATTAGCAGTGGTAATGGTAAGAATGCTTGCTATTTCTTGAGTACCTGCTCAATACCAAGACAACAGGAGGCACTTACATAATTTTTTCTAATCCTTACAACAATCGTAAAAGAAAAGGTATAATTATCATCACTTTACATATGAAGAAACTAAGACTCAAAGAGGTCAAGAAACTTGTGCAAGGTCACACAGCTAGCAAATAGCACAGTCAGGAATCCAGCCAAGGTTTGCCTAGTTCCGATGCTTCGCCACGCTGCTTTCAGGACAATTGTAGATTGCTGGGCACTAAGCTGCCCTTAGTGCTACAGAAGTTACAGAAGATGAAGTACACTTTTAACTGTTTTAAGACAAAACAATTAAAGCATTGCACTGAAAAGTTCAAATAAAAGTTAATACTTCACATGTGACTAAGAATTTCATGAAAACTCAGATTATCACTTGCATTTCAACAGTATGAACAACTGTTGAAAGACAACTATTGTACAAACACGCACAAATGAGCACATGTAAAATGGTGAAATTTGAATAAGGTCAGTGGATTGTATCAATGTCAATTTCTGGTTTATGACATTGTGTTACACTTTTGCAAGATGTTACCATGAGGTAGATGGTGTGAACCTGAACACAGGATCTCTCTGTTTCACTTCTTACAAATGCATATGAATTACAGTCATATCAAAATTAAAATTTAATTCAGAAAAGAGGTAACTGTCATGTTTTACTTACAGCAAAGTTACTCTGCGCTGCATAGTGCAAGGGAGTCGCTCCTTGGCTGTCAGAGGGGATGGTTCCAGATTTATTTCTTTCTAAAAGGAGATGGACAATCTGTGCATGGCCTGAAAGCAGACAAAGTTAACTGTCACATACAAAGGACGTTAATTAATGTATAATCGATTTAAAGGAGAGGGGTAAGAAAAGTTTCCAGCATACAATACAACATTCAAAATGGTTGCAGAGTAGTGGCCCCTAGTTCAGCCTCTTCTCTGACTTCTCATTAAAATACTATGATGATGTAAAACAAAGGTAAACATTTACAACACTAAAAACTTAGATCTCCAATCAGGAAGGAAATGACATTAATTACTACTATCAGATTGAGAAAAACATGTACTAGGTACCAGCTTGTTGCATTCCCTGGCTTCACTTTGTACACCTGCCCATAGGAAAGGTGGAAGGTGCATTAGAAGCCAGCCCCACTCAGCCACCCATGTCTTTGGTCTCCAGGCTCCGCTACACAACCAGTCTGAACTGCATGGCTGTACTTCTACTGTCCGGGAGGACAAACTGTAATACACTCTGCATGAATCTCTGATGTCTCCTATCCATCCCTCTAACTTCCCTCCCCTGATCTTTTAACATCTAAGCAATAATCTGAAATCCCAGGAAACAAGTGGGCAGGAATGATAAGGTGCTGGTGGAGAAAACATTCTGCAATGCGTTCTGGAGAATGTGATCTCCACAAGCAGAGAACTGTAAAAAAGGATCAAAGAATGAACAAACCTGATAGTATATTTGGGAAACCTAAATTTCATAATTCTCTTGCTTCAGCATACTGAGGAACCAGGCAATGAAGGAGATGCCACATTAGCAGGGTGAGGAGATGCTGCATGAAAGCCAAGCAGAAGAAAAGGACTTCAGTGACCGTTGAGCTCATCGACCTGCTCTCCAGCCATGGTCTGGGATAGAGTTCTCCAGAACACAAATGGACAAAAGTAGGGTCAAAGGCGATCTACGCCACGTGGTCGACTGAAACACGTCTAATCTTGTTTGAAGGGGAAAACACCATCAGAAAGATGAAGAACATATCAGAAAGTGATCTAGAGAAGGATCCGGAGGAAGATCAGGACACTGTTTGGCACCTTTGACCAAGTGCAAAGAGATGGCCTCTGTAAAACAAAACAGAATATTCTAAGAAGAAAATGGATGGAAATGAAAAGATAATGAAAGGATGGAGAAAGGGAGACAGAGATAAAAGGAGAGATGGATGAGAAAAGGAAATCAAAATGTAATCTATAAGAGACAGAAGGAATGCAGAACGTAGGGAACAAAAAGTCACTTTGGTGATGTGGAGGCAAATTTATGAAATCCTCCCAGAATGCAGAAAGAAAGGAAAAAGGGATGAAGCTGCACATTGAAATGAACTCTTTCTCAATAACAATAATAAATCTGATTATAAAACTGAATGCAAATGTAAAATTCATGTTCAAAACAGACAATATATAATTTAAAAACTAAAGTCAGAATAACAATTGGGAAAGAAAACATCAGGTTACACTAACAAATACTAAGAGAATGATAAGTGAAAATGCACTAAATTCTTCAGTTTAAATAGGAGGGAATCAACAGATGCAGTTTTGCTCCTGACTTTGACTCAGGCTTAAAAAGTTTTGATCCATTTAAAGGTAACCATTAGTAAAACTTAAATAACCTCCTGAAACATTAGCTAATTCCAAACCAAATAACAACAAACTTAATCCATACACCAAAAGGCAGAAAAAAAAGGAAAAGGAAAACAAAAGTGAAAAAATTTTTTGAAAAAAGAAAAAAAATTTTGAAAAACCCAAAACACCAATAATATTCAAAGAGCAGAAGAGCAGAAAATGTAACAAATTATACACCTTATAAAAATGACTATTAATGGGTAAAACTCCTTCACTAAAATAGAAAGACTCAGATTGCCTCCCCCAAATCAGACACACATATACACACTACCTCATCTAAAAATATGATCCCCCCAAATGTTAAAGACAGATCAGAAAAATATAAAGAAAAAATCAAATATGATTATATTAGCACAAACATAAAATTAAAGCCCTCCTCCCCCAAAATAAAGACACTGGTTGTGAAAAGAGGATTACTTTCCATTTATATTTGTCCGTAAATGTGCATTACTTACATGATCAAAATGAAAAGACATGATGTTGAAATTGAAATATGACAGAGAACGCATTTATAATACTAAAATTGAAGCATAGAGATATTTAGGTGTAAAATAATGCCACATACTTAAAAATTAAAATAATGAAATAGAAGACGGGAGGCTGGGAAAGAAAAGGCACAGAAAGGTTTCTGTACTCATGTAGTTCCTCCTACTGCTGATCTTTTGTTCACATTCAACTCACCTAGTAAAGCCGCCCAGTGAAGTGGGGTTCGAAACAGGTTATCGTAAGACGTGATATTGCAGCTTTCATACGAGGTCAAGACATCAACCACCGTCACGTTCCCATCGGCGACTGCAAAGTGAAGAGGTGTTCGGCCCTCATAGTCTTGCCAGTTCAGTAAGGACTCCGTTGGAGCAGCATCCTGTTTTTAAGGAACCGGAAACTTCAGACACACACAGAACCCTCAATCAATCGCATTCAACATACGTTTAACTGAGCAGTTTTCTAAATCTCTGTTCTCTCTCAGAACAGCAAAGTGATAAAATTCAGAAAAAAGCAGTTGATGTCTTTAAATTTATTTTCATACTGAACTGTAAAGAGTACAGACAAGATATAATAAAAACCATGCACTGACTGTCTAGATGAAATAGGTATCAAAACACAGATTTTGTGCTTTTGTACTTTTTACAGATTGAGCAAATGCTGTATATTTTGTTCTTTTGCTACCTATGCATACATCCATAAATGACTCAAATTTTGTATGTATGGTTTTTAATATTTACACTTATACATTATACTCTGTATGTCCTTCGGCAATTTTTCTTTCAACAGTAGACATTGGGATACCTATGCTGATGCTAGTTCATTTGTTAAAGCACAAGGTAGTTCCCCCTTCTCCTACTGAGGGACACCTAGGTTATTTACATTTCCCCACTATTAACAATAATGCTGCAATGAACATGCTTCCTTTACCTGTCCCCTTGTAGCACATTGGTGAGATTTTCCTCTAGACTAGAATTCTAGCAGGGGAGTTTCTGGGTTGAAGGATAGCTGCACCCCCAAGTAGGTATTGTGGCTGTTCTCCAAATGGTTGTACCAGTGCTCAAATCTGTGACAAGGTGTAAAAGTAGTTGTTCCCCCAAATGCTGGCATAAATTAACCATTTGGTATCATCAAGCTTACTACATTTTTCTGCTTGTAAGTATAAAAGGCATTTCACTGATGTTTTAATTTTTATTTCTTTTATAAATGAGGTTGAGATTTTCAATCACATGTTTATTGACTATTTGGCTTTATTTCTCTGTAAATCAACAGTTCACAACATTTACTCATTTTTCTACCAGATCTTTGTAGCAGGTGTTAGGACGCACTGCTTTGGTCCCCTTCAGAACTAAAGGACTTGTTTCCACAGCTGCAGGAAGTACTACTAGCCAACGACCCTCAACAGTCAGCCTTCTGAAATTGCTATGGCTAAAGAGAGTTGCCTCCCCCAAGGTCATGTCCCTTCTTGGATTAGGTCATATCAAAAGCCATGCCCTCTTGTCCCCTGTGAGAACTCTCTGAAGGGCCATCTGGGATTTAGACCTGCTTGTATAGCCAGTCTATTTTACAAAGAAGAGCATGAAAGGTCTTACAAATACTTCAAAAATACCACAATAGTATTATAGAGTTTACTTGAGTTTCCCAAGGACTAAGATATATTTCTAAGGAAAAAAAGATCTGTGAGAAATAAGGTATGAGTGAGAATTATCCCCCAAGGACTTTAGATATTGGAATTAACACATAAAGAATATAAAAATAACTATCTATGAAACATGTAAAAAAATAAAAATAAAATAAAAAGTGAGCATGACCAAAAAGATCTGAAAAAGAAACCAATAGAACTTTCAGAAGTAAAAATGTGATCACTAGGATTAAGAGTCAATGAACACAGTAAACAAGAGACTGGACTCAGAAGATCTAGGAAAGTGGAAGACAGATCTGATGTGCAGTCGTCCCTCACTATATCGTGGTTCACTTCTTGTGGCTTCACTATATTGCGTTTTGGTTTTTTTGATATATCTAGTTCTGTATTGCAGAGTTTTTGCTATATTGTAGAATTTTGCGGTATATAGGTATTTAAATAATATTTATGATTTTAATTATTTTTGTCTAAAAATTAAATAATACAAAAATGTTAATTCAAACATATTAAAAGAATATTAAATCAAAATAAAATACAGTATGTATTTCATCAGCAGATGAATACTGTACTGTACAAAATTATGTAGGTTTAAGAGTATAGAAAGTGTTTAAGAGCATATGAAGTGTTTATTAAGAGTGTGGGAAAGATTAATAAGAGAGTGGGAAAGGTTTATAGAAGTGTGGGAAGGGTTTATAAAGCCTTAATATATATATAAATAACAAAATAAGTATAATGCCGCTACTTCGTGGATCTTCCCCAATCGTGGGGGTCTCTGGAACATAACTCCTGTGATAGGTGAGAGATCACTGTAATTACCTAGAACTCAGCAGAGAGACAAGATGTTGAAAATGAAAAGAGTTAAGATACATGGAGAATGGAGAATACAATAAAAAGGTCTAAAATATGTATAATTGGAGGCCATAAAGGCAAGAACAAAGACAATGAAAAGGAGGTAATATTTAAAGAGATAATGGCCAAATATTTTCCAGAACTAAGAAGCTATAATCGGAATGTATGTCAAACAGGAAGAAATAAGCTACACCTAGACATACTGTAGTACAACTGTCAATAGCCTGTTGAGAAGAGTTTAAAAGCAGCCTGAGGAGAAAGGTAAGTCATCTATAAAGGAATGACAATTCCACCAATAACAGACTCCTCAAGAGTAATAATGAAAGGCAGTTTGAGAAACATAATAGAGACTGAGTTGAAAAAAGTAACTATCTAGAACTGTGTATACAGGAAAACTATATATTAAAGAGCAACATAGAAATTCAGGCATTCTTAAAAATTAGAAATAGCTTATCACCAAAAGATCTACACTAAAGGAAGTTCTAAGAATTATATTCCAAGAATTAAGATAATAACCCTAGAAGGAAAATTTAAGATTCAAGAAGAAAGGCAGAGCAGCAAAATTAGTCCACATTCAAGTAGAAGTAAATGATCATTGTATGTACAAAATAGTATCTTTTAAAGTCTAATTTCCGTGTTGCATGAAAATAGCATGAAATATTAGACTATCATAGCATGTAAATTGGAATGTGGGGAGGAGTGATTAGAAACCCTCAAAAACATCTAGTGTTAAATATTCAAAATTAATAAGTATAGCAAGTTATTCAGATATATAATTAATGAACAAAAATATCAATGGCATTTCTATACATATATAACATGTATAGAAATATATACCCATTGATAAGCTTTAAAATGTTCAAAGTGTCACTGTTTGTAAATAACAAAAAACTAGAAATAGTTCCAAATCTGTCAATAACAGAATGAATACTGTGTGGTTTAGTCACAAAATGGGACGCTAAATAGCAGTAAAAATGAACATATTACAGCTACAGACAGCAACAGAGCTAACATCACCAGCATAATGTTGGGCAAGAAAGTCATGTTGCAAAAGAATACACACAATATGATTCCATATATATATAAAATTTAAAAAAACATTAAAAACTAAGCAACATGTAGTTTAGGGACACAAACATACGTGCGGAAACTCTAAGGTAAGTAAGTGGAATGATAAACCCCAAACTGAGCACAGTGGTTGCCTCTGAGGAAGGCGAGCACAGAATGGTACTGGGAGGTACCCGGGCGACCTGAAAGGTAACAGCAGTGTGCTGCTCCTAAAACCCAGTGACAAGTACCTGAGTATTTGTCGTCTCCTTATGCTTAATATCTTACATCTATTTCACAAATATTCACTTATATCTACTCATTGTTTAATAAGAACAAGTACAAAACAAAGTTAGGGAGTGAGAAATAGAAATTTACAAGACTCGCTGATGGGGGACAGGAATGAGCACAGCCTCGGGGGAGAATGCATTTGGAAAAGGGCACAGAGAAAACTTCCACATGGTCTTAAATAGTGGTGTTCAATAGTGGTATTAAAATGTTCTACGGTATTTCTTGAGTGATGTGTTCATATGTTTGTCATAGTCTTCTGTTTTGTAACTTGCTTATGTGTCATATGCAGGATATGCTTTTGTGTGACTGGATATTTCATAAGACAAACATGTTGTTGGAAAGACCAGCCAGGTCCAGCGGCACCACTGCACTCACCAGAATGCACCGCACTGTGTGAACAGCGCTCGGATCTTTGTGGTTGGCTGCCCAGTGAAGTGGGATTTTGCCTTCGACATCGGGGATCCCGATGTTGGAGTCATGCTTGATGAGCAGCTTCACATGCTCGGGGTTGTTGTAGTAGGCACTCCAGTGCAGAGCTGTTTGCTGTAAAATTGAGGTTCTTGAAATGACAACAATAACAACAGCAACAATAACAGCACAACGACAATTTTTCCCAGGCTCTTACTGTTCTAAGAGCTTTATATGTTTATCTCATGTACTGAGCATGGCAATTCTGGGAGAAAGTTCCTTTGAATTTGCATGTGATTGATGAGGAAACTGAGCACAAGGAAGGTAAGCAACCTGCTCTACGGTGGAAAGGTAGTAAGTGGCCAAACTGAGATTTTAACCCAGATAGTCTGCCGTCAGAACCTGCCCTCTTAGCCATGGTGGGTATTTAGGTCACCAGGTACTAAGAAATGATAATACTGAGAAGGAGAAAAGCAGCCCAATCATTTATGAATAATTATCAACAAAATAGGTGATGATTTTGATATTGCATCCAACACCTTAAGAATTTGATATAATGTTTTTAATTATGTTATCTATCAAAAAGAAGATCCATACATGGACAATCATAGATCTGGAATTTTTTTATATCAAAGAAGAAATATAATCTTACGTGACAAACTCTTAGCCCTAGTTACTAATCAAAGATACCTTTTGAAAATACAGCAAAATTTGCTTTATTTCAGAAAAAAGTCAAAAACGAACACCCCGAATGTGCTGACGTTGCTTTGAAACCTCTTCTGCGTTCTTAGAGACATCCCATAGCAGGTGCTTCCTCTACCGGGAACTTTATTCAGGAGGCTAGGAGAACCTGTTTAGATAAACACTGTTCCTCTCAAGCAGCACTGTTATCAGTCCAATCTACAATCGGATCATGTAGCCGCAGGAACCGTGAGCTCATTTGTCACAATAAACACTTCACATACACACGGTATCCATTCAAAGGGCACCTATAGGCATTTAACACAAAGAGGCACATTTTAACTTACTACCTTTTATTCGGTAATAAGGGCAGAACAACGAAGTCACAAATTCTATAGCAGTTAATTTGCCCATAACTACATTTTCAATAAACAACACATATGGTGTCTGTAACTCTTTTCTTTTCCCATGTTATAGTTGTTGTGAATATAGTTATTGAAATGTAATATGATGTCTGTTGAATCTAAGAGTAAAAAAGTTTGGGGTTGTATTTTTTCTGTCTTTGTTCTTTTAATTTTTCTAGTAATTCCCTCTTTTTTAATAGGTATTTTTTAAATTTATCTTTAGAGGGGAAGGGAAGGAGAGAGGGAGAGAAATATCAATGTATGGTTGCCTCTTGTACGTTCCCTGCTGGGAATTGGTCTGCAACCCACGCATGTGCCCTGACTGGGAATCAAACCGCCAACCTTTGGTTTGCAGGCACGCACTCAATCCACTGAGCTACGCCAGCCAGGGCTAGTAATTCTCTTTTTTACTGTGGTAAAAAATATACATAACATAAAATTTACTATTTTACTGTTTTAAGTGTACAGTTGAGTGGCATTAAGTACATTCACATTGTCATATAACCACCAGACCATCCATCCCCAATATTTTTAGCTTCCCAAACTGAAACCCCACACCCGTTTAACAACCCTCACTCCCCAACTCCTCCCGGCCCCTGGCAACCTCTGTTCTACTCTGTCTCTCTGAAATTGACGACTCTAGGGACCTCATAAGTGGAATCATACAATATTTTACCTTTTGTGTATGACATTTTACTTAGCTTAATATCTTCAGAGTTCATCAATGTTGGAGCATGTGTCAAAATTTAATCCCTTTTTAAGGCTGGCTAATATCTCACCATATGTATACACTGCATTTTGTTTAGCCATCTGTCATCAATGGACATTTGGGCTATTTCCATTTTCTTGGCTATTATGAACAATGCTTCTACGAAAATGGATGTACAAATATCCATCCTAGTTCCTGATTTCAATTCTTTTGGGTGTATACCCTGAAAGAGTATTACTGGGTCATATGGTAATTCTGTTTCATTTTTTTAGGGACTGCCACATTGTTTTTCCCAGTGGCTACACCAATTTACATTCACACCAGCACTGCACAGGATTCCAATTTCTCTATATCTTCACTGACACTTGGTATTTGTGTGTGTGTGTATGTGTGTAATAACAGCAACCTAAAGGGTATGAAGTCCTATCTTATTGCAGTTTTGATTTGCTTTTCCTTAATGATTAGTGATGCTGAGCATCTTTTCATGTGCTTGCTGGCCACTTGCATATGACTTTGGAGAAATGTCTATTCAAGTTCTTGGACCCTTTTTAATTGGGTGGTTCTTTTGTTGTTGTTTATTTTTAATGTATGTCATAAAATTATTGGTCTGTGACAGAGTGGAAATTAAAAACAAACTGATCCTTTCCCTCAGATACTTTGAGAATCGCGGCTCTAGGCCTTTATCTTCCTCTCTGCTCGGGGCCTGTCTGGACTGCGTGGACCCATTTTCCATCTGCCTTCACTGGATCGCCTCCCACCCCTGCTCCACACAGAATAATATACAGATACTGGAAGACAGGAGGATGTTTCTAGAATATTTGGGGACGACATCATAAAGCCCAAAGACATTCACAGCGGAAGTGATTAATGATCTTTGTGGATTTAACAAAGTGCTTTTTTAAGCAAAATATTAGCACTCTCTACATGCTGTGAGTTAGGAATAATATTAGTTAACAGTAAGCTGTAAAATAAAGTTGATTACAGAACTCTGGGCTATGTGAGTGACTACTGAACAAAATCAGAAAACTACATAAAGAACAGTATGAGAGTAAAAGGATTATTGCATATAAACCCAGTAGATTTAATCATAAGAGTTTTAATTACATGGGAGCATAAGAGTTATTAACAAGGCTCTATAATTACATGCTAGTGGAAATGAAGAGAAATATTGCCCTTGTCTAAAGCCCACATTTTTTTCCCTGTAAAAAAATGATGAGAGCGATACCCAGTTGATCAAAACAATGACCAATGTGTACAATATGTTACAATTCAAGAGCAGGGAAAATAACGGATCCTAGCAACAAATGCCAGAATGGATGTTAGAACCTAAGTGAAACTAGTAACATTCCATAGCTAACATTTATTGAAAGCATACTCTGCACTGGGCATTGCGCTAAACACTTTATATGTATTATCTTGTTTTCTCTTCAACACCCGATTGTCCCCTTTTCACACATGAGAAAAGGCAATGCAGTCATTTGACCAAGGACACAGAGCAAGCAAGTTGTAACTTCTACATTGAAACCCAAATAGTCTGATGCCAAAGCCAGGCCATTCAACAACTGTGCACTTAGAACAGTGCCAGGCACTGGCTGCCACAGACCTTACACCACAGTCACTATCACAACCAGCTGTTAAGTAATGGGTTTCCGTTTGAATTCCAGACCTGCCACTTGGATCCTGGACAGAATTTTACTCTTTTGAGCTTCTTTTTCCCCACCTGTAAAAAGGAGATGATGCTACTGACCACACGGGGTTGCTGGGAGGACAAAACGATAGAATTTAAGTGAAATGCTTTATGAGGGCATATGGAGACTTGGATTGTTCTACCATGTGTTCTACCGTGTGTACAAGTGGCAAAGGATGTATTAAATGCCTTTATATTAAATGCCTTTGGCCTTTTTCCTTGAGTTTTCATATTGTACATGAAAGTGTTTGCTTTCTTTTCTTATTTGTCTTGGATTTTGGCAGTCCATTACCTTGTTTTTATCCTGTGTGTCCACTTCTCCTGGAGCCATGAACTTCAGCAGAAGTGCTAAACACTTAGGGCTCTTGTGCCGGGTGGTCAAGTGCAAAGGAGTCATCTCCTCCAGATCCTTCTGCATCCAGTTTGCTCTACGTGTCAGTAAGAGCTTCATGAAACGATAATTTCCCTAAATAAAAAGAGATGGTAAGAAGAAAATAAGTTTGGAGGCCAAGTATTTTAATTATTCTGCTAGAGTAGTAACATTCAGAATAATTAATAAGAAGAAAAATACTGAGGACTTCCGCCAAGATGGAGAAGTAGGTGGAGGTTCCACCTCACCTCTGTGCACAACCAAATCTAAGAACAACTATTTTTAACAGCAGTCACAACCAAGCCCCACGGAAAATCGACAATACGGAGTCCAAAGGACAACTAGATACTCGGCTGGACCGGTACGAGGAGCGAGGCCAGCAGCGGAGCAGGTTAGCAAGAAAAAATTCCCGGGGCGGTGCGCGCAGGCAACCGAGGGCGCTGATCGCCAGTGAGCTGGCTGCCGGAGCGCACACGGAAGAGGCGCGGCGGGTCGGTCGGTCGCGCGCATTTACGTGCGGAGAAACCAGTGAGAAGGGGAAACCGGGCGGTGCAGCAGGCTCGCAAAATTAGGATCGGATAAGCAAGCCCGAGGCGTTTGAGTGACTGGTTGCGCTGGGCTAGCGGAGAGGAACGCCATTGCTCCCTCTCTGACCCCGCCCCCACACACAGCGTCACAAACCAGCGACCTGGGTCGCCCCGTCCTGGTAAACAACTAAGGCTTCGCTCCGCTCACTTAACACGCGAATAGACCAAAAATGGCTCTAGGACAACTCAGAGCCCCAGAACCGATAGACCTAAGTGATGAAGAAATAGCCAGTCTTTCAGATGCACAGTTCAAAACACTGGTTATAAAGATCCTTACAGAACTGGTGGATTTTAGTCACAAATTAGAGAAACATATGGAAGCTAAATTAATTGAAATGAATGCTGATACAAAAGATATCAATAGTAATGGAAAGAAAATTGGGATTCAAATCAAGGGAGAGAACCAGACGGAAGAAAAAAATGACCAAACAGAAAGGAATGAAGAAATGAGAATTCAGAAAAATGAGGAGAAGCTTAGGAACCTCCAGGACATCTTTAAACGTTCCAACATCCGAATTATAGGGGTACCAGAAGGGGGAAAGGCAAACCACCAGTTGAAAAATTATTTGAACAAATAATAAAGGAGAATTTCCCCAAGATGGCAAAGGAAATAGACTTCCGAGAAATCCAGGAAGCTCAGAGAGTCCCAAAGAAGTTGGACCCAAGAAGGAACACACCAAGGCACATCATAATTACATTAGCCAAGATTAAAATGAAGGAGAGAATCCTAGAAGCAGCAAGAGCTAAGGGGACAGTCACCTACAAAGGAGTTCCCATCAGACTGTCAGCTGATTTCTCAAAAGAGACCTTACAGGCAAGAAGGGGCTGGGCAGAGGTATTCCAAGTCATGAAAACCAAAGAACTACAACCAAGATTGCTCTACCCAGCAAAACTTTCATTTAGAATGGAAGGACAGATAAAGTGCTTCTCAGATAAGACCAAATTCAAGGAGTTCATCATCACCAAGCCCTTACTATATGAAATGTTAAAGGGACTTACCTAAGAAAAAGAAGATAAAAAAGATGAACAGTGAAAGGACAGCAAACTCACAGTTATTAAGAACCACACCTAAAACAAAAGCAAACTAAGAGGATAGCTAGATCAGGAGCAGAACCATAGAAATGAAGATCTCATGGAGGGTTAGCAACAGGGGAGTGGGGAGGAGGGGAAGGGGGAGAAGGTACAGAAAATAAGTAGTATAGACAGTAGATAGAAAATAGATAGGGGGGAGGGTAAGAATAGTAGGGGGAAATACAGAATCTAAAGAATTTGAGACACATGTTCATGAACTAAAGGGGGAAATGGTGGGGAAGGGGTATGCAGGGTGGAGGGGAAAGGAGGGGGGAATAGAGCAAATGTAATGGCATAATCAATTAAAAAAAAAAGCTTAAAAAAATAAATAAAACCAGAAAAAAAATTGTATCCCCCCCAAAAAAAAAGAAGAAAAATACTTATAATTCTATTACTCTATCAATTGTTTTATTTATTTTTTTTGTTTTCCTTCCAACCTCCTTCCATGTGCATATGGTTTATATAGTTGCTGGTCAATATTTCACTGTGTAAAATCAATATATTTTATTTAATCATCCTAATATTATGTCCAATATTTTCTTTATAGAAACTGCTACAATATACATCTTTTTCTCACATAGTTTATTTTTTCTTATTTGTTTTTTAAAAGAATAATCTTAGCTAGTGTGGCTCAGTGGATGGTGCACCAGCCTGCGAACCAAGAGGTCGCTGGTTTAGGGCACATGCTGGGGTTTTGGGCCAGGTCCCCAGATGGAGCATGTAAGAGGCAACCAACTGATGCTTCTCTCACACACTGATGTTTCTCTCCCTCTCTTTCTCCCTCCCTTCACCTCCCTCTGAAAATAAATAAATCAAATCTTTAAAAAAAATAATAAATTATCAGGAACCAACTTACTGGGTCAAAGGAGTTTACACATTTTACATTTCTTTGGTGTATTCTCCAAATTGCTAACTAGGAGCAGCAATAAGTATATTCATTTCAGCGTATTCTGACCATTGTAGTACATATTTATATTCAAGATATGATAACTCTGTGAAATAAACTGAGATTTTAAACCCCAATTAGAGGTGAGGGAAGTGAGATTCGATGGGGTTGAATGTTTTGTTCACAATCATCAGGTTAAGGAGGAGGTGGTTGGTTTTCTTGAACACAGCTATTTACAGGTATGACTAAGCAAAAAGCAGCTTGTTCAAGCTCCAAGTCCTTGACTCATGTGTCACCTAAACACAAAGTAGGAGTCACTGCAGGCCACCCACTTGCAGGCAATACTCTCCATGTCAGTTACACCCTCCTGGAAAAAAAAAAACAACTGCAAGGGTAGAGCAACACACCGGCGGGGGTCTTGGTCAGTCATTGCAGAAGAGCCCCCTCATCCGAGGTTGTGCTCTCCATGGTTTCCGTCACCAGTGGTGAGCGGCAGTCTGAAAACATTACATGGAAAACTGCAGAAATAAACAATGCGTAAGTTTTAAATTGTGGGTAGTTCTGAGTAGTGTGATGAAATCTCGTGCCATCCAGCTCTGTCCCGCCTGGAATGAGAATCATCCCTTTGTCCAGCGTATCCACGCCACACACCCTACCTGCCCTCAGCATCAGTCACTTAGTAGCCATCTCGGTTATGAGAGAGAGAGAGAGCGCGCATTCACATAACTTTATTATAGTATGTTGTTATAACTGTTCTACTTTATTATTATAAATTACACTTTATCAAAGGTATGTATATATAGGAGAAAACATAACACATATAGGTTGCAGTGCCAGTCTCAGTTTAAGGCATCCATGCAGGGTCTTGGAATGTACTCCCCACAAATAAGGGTGGACTACTGTATAGTATAGTATATCTGTGTAATATAGAAGATTTGAAACAAAACGTGCGAAAAATAGTTCTTTTGAGGTCTTTCCTGAGATGCTTAGTACCACAGGTGTGTCAAAGTCAAGATGACCAAACTGTATTTGCATGATCAAGTTCTCTGCCTACTTCATGCCTATTATCTCTCCCTCTTTAAAGCACGGTGGGCAGGGTTATCTGTCCTTTCCATCCTCTGAGATCCTCTCCAGCCTTAACCTTATTGGAAATTTGGCAGTTTAGGATTATAATGCATTGATGTTTTCCTGCAAGGGGCCACCAGGACTGGTAAGGAAAACATCTCTTAATTAAGTAAGCAGCCTCCCGCCACAACGAAGACCGTGAGGCTCTAAGGCAAAGGGGACCGGTTAGAGCAACAACGAGGTGCAGAAGGATGACTGAGAGCTGCCTCCTTGCCCACAGGGGCAGAGACAGGCTCAAGACAAGCTCAAGAACTGGGGCAGAAATGAGAGAACAAGGCTAGGAAAAGGGATGGGCAGACCTGGAATGGACTGAAAGGCGAACTGACTCAGCTCGGTTATTTCCTCTCAGAGAGGCTTGTCCTTGACCGCCCGTACTTTGTTCTTTACTCTAGCATCCTGTCACATCGTTCATGGCACTCTCCTCCATCTGCAGTGGCCTGTTTGTTTCCCTCGCTGTGATCGCCCTCACAAGCTGTAAGCTGTAGAGACTGTGTTTTAGTGCCCGCTGTGCTTGGCACAGTTCCTGGCACAACATAGGTCTTTAGTAAATATTACTTGAAGGACTGAGTTGGGTAAGAGGAAATAAAATCTCTTCTAGGGACATTTGTTTTTATTCAAAAATTCTTACGGTTGCTACATTAGATCATAACAATGAAGAATCTTAATTCTCAGATATCTTGTGTTTTGTTCCTCTTACTTTTTAACGTTTCTTCATGGATCTGACCTTCATTCACCAAGGACATCGTTTGTCACGACTTTTCCTGTTGCCCAGGGACAACTTTCAAAAAGGAAGGCACTAACATTTCCTCAAGAGGGCACCCTGCTCTAAGTCTCATGCCATCCTTTCTTTGAAAAAAGAAAAAGTGCCCAGGAAAAACAAATCTATATGGTACTTCACACCAAAAAATAAAGGCTGACCTTTCTGAGCATAACACCTCACATATTAGAGAATAATTCATCATGACCTTTTAAAGATACTCAATCACACAATCATTTTGATTCTGAAATTTAGAGGGAAAGGAAAGGAAAAGGAAATGAGACTACGTGGAGGAGGTGACTAGTGAGTTACTGAGCCTTGTTCAGAAGCAGGCAGCAGCAAAATGTTTGCACTTCACTTATTACACAGTCTTTGGCAGATTTCAACTTTGCTCCTCACAGAAGTACCACAGAAAAATTTTACAGTTTAAATAAAGTATCATCCCGTGCCTCTATCTGCTCATCTATCACATTGCAATAATAATAGTACCTGAGATTATTATGCATAGGAAGTGATAAAGGATAATATTTGTAAAGTACTTAGAACACTGCACAAAGCAAATGCTCAGTAAACGTTTGGCAGTTTCATTATGAACAGTTTTCCAGCGCAGAGGAGGCAACAAACATAGATGGTCAGGGGAAACCAGGAATGGCCCACGCAACATTAGTGT